CCAAAATAACTCAGCTCTGCAGGCGTGTCAGTGTCTGCAGAAGGCAAAGACTATGAGCGTCCCTGTCGTTAGAAGTTGCAGGAGGCACGGTGCGGTGCTAGCAGAGCATGAAGGCTGGAATAGCAGGACACCAGGGACTCAGTACTGCCCACCACAGCTGCTTCCTGGTGACCTGCTTTTGCTTTGCAGGTTCTAGCACAGTGGAAAAGAATGGAAGTCACTCCCCACCCACCATGTCCTTCCCCAGGACAGCTGCTGCCTGCTGTCCCAAGACAAGGAGCCATGCCCACAGGCTCCCAGAGGCTGTGGGCTGTCACAGCCTGTGTTTGACTTTCTCATACCCTGTGCCCCTTGTTCTGCCTCATGCAGGGAGCAGCGCAATGACAAATATATATCTTTCTGCTGCTTGTAAACCCTCAGAAGGTACAATGGCACTCAAAATGCTGATCTCACCTGTTTTAATGCCTCTCTCTTTCAAACAGACCCCTTTCTCACTTCCTCATTGCTGGGATTTTTGTTCTCATGGCTGTTTGCGTCTTTGCAGTTCTCCCCAAGGCTTGAAGATAACTGGGGGTGGGGGCTTCCCCTTTGCAAAAAGTCCCTGCCGCTGTCTGCAGGGGCCTTGTGCCCCTCACTGCTTGCTCACACACACCTCAGTCTGGCAGCCCAGGCGTTTACCATTTGAGTCAGAGGAAGCCTCGCACTGTGGGCCTGTGCTGCCCCACAGCATCCCTCACCCCACGGGGATCACTCACCTCAGTGGCTTTCACACAGCATGAACAACCTGCTTCTGGGCCCAACTGCCCCTCGAGGGCTTGGCTTACAGGGGAGAGAAGGTACCCCGTCATTCCCCACTGCTGCCCAGCTGACAGCAGGTAGGACCAGATTTCCGGGATGCGTGTCGGAGGCTACACCCTGGTGCTGCAGATCCCAACATGCCTGATACCCTGCTGCGCCGGCTCCAGAAAGCGGGAGCAGGGACCAAAGCAAAGCTGGAAGGACAAGCAGAGAAATGAAAAGCTCCATTGCAGCTGCTTGGTTTTGAGGGGATGGCTGAGCACAAACGCTCTTCAGACCTTGTTGTGTGAACAGATGTAGATGAGCACAGAAAAGGGGTTAACTCATGTCTAATGTTTTTACTGTTGGTCGGGATGAGGGGATTGAGTGTATCCTCAGTAAGTTTGCAGGTTTCACCAACCTGGGAGGATATACCAATCTGCCTGAGGGGAGGAAGGCCCTACAGAGGGATCTGGACGGGCTGGATCACTGGGCTGAGGCCAATTGTATGAGCTTTAACAAGACCAAGTGTCAGGTCCTGCACTTTGCTCACAACAACCCCAGGTAAGGCTTGGGGCAGAGTGGCTGGAAAGCTGCATGAAAGGAAAGGATCTGGGGATGTTAGTTGAACATGAGCCAGCAGTGTGCCTGGGCAGCCAAGAAGGCCAACGCTCTGAAAGAGTTATCAGGGGTTGGAACAGGCTGCCCAGGGAGTCAACCAGTCCTCGAGGTTTTCAAGAAAATAGACAGTGTTGCTTTGAGTGAATATGATTAATTCTTATGGTGGTGGTGGGTGGATGGTTGGAGTAGGTGATCTTAGTGGTCTTTCCAACCTTCATGATTCTATGTGGGCACGCAGGTGAGGTGGAAGAAGCATAAAAAGGCCAGGCTCACTTTCTGAATAAGAGAGAAAAAGCTGAAAACTGGGCCTGCGTGAGGATTTTTACATTCCTGAGCCATCAGCACAGATGGAACTGGCCTGATGAAGTAACAGCAGTCTTTGTTCCCAGAAGGTTCCGGCCCTATGATCGTACAACCCACACACCCTACTGGGAAGAGGAGCAGCCACCACACTCCTTGCTGGGAGGAGGGCAGAAAACCCTCCTTCCTGCTGTGAAGGTCTGATGGGAGACCTGTCAGAGAAAGAGTTAAGAAAGTTGGGAAGCGGTTGGGCTGAGTCTGTTTGCTGTAGCAATGAGGGCTGCAGGGTAGAGAAGAACGTCCAGCCTGCAGGAGGCAGGTGAGGGAGTGTCAACAAGGGCAGCTGTGGAGCTGAGGGAAGTGCCAGGTCTTCCTGATTCTGTGCCCAGGGACTGACAGAGCACGGAGATACACTGGCTACCAAAGGGCTGGGTGACAATGTGTTGATGAGCTGGTGCCTTTAGCACCAACTGCCTGATGCTGCCCAGGTTCTTTTGTATATAAATCTTTGCTCACTGCTGCTGGAGTGACTTGTCTACAGAGAAGGATGACCAGATCGTCTGTCTGTAGGACATCAGAGGCTGGGACTCAGGCACTGACACCACCCCTAGCCATGTGAGCTCCCTGGGAAGGATACTCACTCCAGAGCCCCAGTTCAGAGCTCTCCCATTGCTCTACCAGAAATGTAGTGGGCAGTACTGCATAAACACCCTCAATCCAGAAGCTTTCTGTGGGCCACTCAATCTCTGAGCACTACCCACAGTCATCACCTGGTGCAGGGGCTGTGCTGTGCAGGATGGGATTCGAGCTGCTTCTTGGTGGCTGAAGGTAGAGTTTGGCCAGGACTAGGATGGAGATAGTGTGACTGTGTGTGTGATGCTGATCCCAGTGCAGCATGTCCTTGCTGTGACCTAGTTGCAAGTACACTTTGCACTCCTACTATCTGTATTGAAAAGTCACCTAGGGAGGTGCTGTTTGCAAAGAAACAGGCAGATCTGTAAGAAAAGGGTGGGAGAAGAAACCTAAGCAATACAAATGAGAGGGAGCATCTCTGGGAGCATAGAGGGAGAGAAGCAGTGACACTGAAGAATTGCAGATAGGGGAGTAGGAATGTCCAGTCTGGCACAAAGGAGGGTGCACATCCCCCTCCCTGCCCATTTTTACTCTAAAGTAAGGCTATAGAGGACTAATCCACACCAAGCAGATGTCCCTACAGGGGGCCCTCTGGGACACTGGTGACTGCACAGCTTTGGCAGGGTGGGTGCAGGAGAAGGTCTGAGCATGCTGGCAGCAGGTAGAATCCATGGAGGCAGTGAGGCGAGGAACAGAGCTGGCTTTTGAGGAATGTCAGCATCAGTTTTGCTGGTGGAACTGTCCCACTCTGCTGGGGCTGCAGGTCTTTGGCAATATTGCTATCCAAGATTAGCAGGACCAGTGGATGTCAGTGGGGCTGTCATGGGATCCATTCAGTGAGCCAGTGTGTCCTCTTGGAGCACGTGGAGTGCCTTCTTCCACATGCTAGTGGAATTGCTGACACAGCAAACATTGAACAGCATGCATGTGCTACTACAAATACTAATTTTCTGGTTAAACTTCATCATTTGGCCAGGGCTGGCTTTTAAATCATGTCTGGACCACGCCAGATGTCAGCCCTGCAGACTGGCAGATCTTGCCCCACCAGCCCTGCCCCCAGCCCTGCCCAGCCCCCCAAGCTCCCCTTTCAGTTGCTTACTCCTCTTCCTCAATGGCACATGGGTCCCAGGAGCTGATGGTGCCACAGGCTGAGCCAAAAGCACCTGCATAGCAGTCTTTCTGACTCTAGGCCTTGAGGACCATGGCACTGGGTGAGCACCCTGATGGTTCTCCTAAGCACTCTCCATCTGAATGCATCCATCATACATGCAGTAACAACCTCTCTCTCCTGCTGCATCCCACCAGTGCCTTCCCCTTCTCCATAACTGAGTGTCAGAGCTCAGCAGGCCTGTGCCTTTTCTCACCTTGTTTCAGGCAAGTGGGAGGCTGCCTTCATTCATGCCATCTCCTCAGGGGGTTTTGTCTTTGCTGTGACTCATGCCTGCTGCTGTGGGGAGCTGCAGAAATGTGGTTGTGACCACAAGATCTGAGGTGATGAAGGAGTCCAGAGACAGAGATTGGGTGGCACAGGACAAGGTTCATGGGAGAGGATCACCAGGAGATGAGAGGCAACATTTTGTTTCACAATCAGTCCTCAGCCCTTCTGGCATTCCCCCCAGGGTTTCTCACTCTTTGTCTCATTGTTGGTTTCCCCCAGCAGGTTTCCAGTAATCAGGCTGCTCTGATAACCTCTCTTATGGGATTGCTTTTTCTCTGTGTGGACAGCTCTGAGAAGAGCCATGGGGTGTCCTCCAGCCAAGCTCTCATGAACCTTCACAATAATGAGGCATGGAGGAAGATAAAGGCAGAAACAAAAGCTGGGAAGCAAGCCCACTTTCTAGAGCTTCCTCTTGGCTGGGCAGAGCTTTGTCCAGTCCCTTATTCAGAGTAGAAATCTAGGGAATCCATGAACTCACAGAGCAGGTTTGTGTCCTGCTCCTTTCCCTTTCTCTCCCTTCTCTTTTTCCTACCCCTCCCCTCCCTCCCTCTCCCTTCTCCTCCCCTTTCCCCTTTTCCCATCCCTTTGACTAATCTTGCCCTGATGTTCCCATTCTGGCCTCATGAGAAGCCTGTTGGGGAAGTCACTGCTTAAAGCCCACAGGAACAGGTGCCCCACAGGTTGTCTCTGTTCCATCTGGCAGCTGTCTTCTGCTTCCCCATGCCCTTACACATGAAGATGGAGTGCAAGTGCCATGTCATGTCCTGTGAGGTGTGCAGATGCTGAAAGGTCATGCCCCCTTCTGCAAGTTGGACTACGTCCTGGATGAGAAGTTTTGAGAGAATAGTGGAGGTTCACTCCCAATGAGTGAGTTCCTGCAAGCTGTTGGTGTCCAAGAGCAATTGTTTCAAGTCTTACACAGGTCATGACCTGGTTTATCTGTTGGCCAGCCCAGACTTCTGTGATTGGAAGTCCTGGTGTGGGGCCTTTGGCACTTCTGGCCACCTGTGCAACAGGACATCTGCAGCCATGGATGATGGCGATCTCCTGTGCTGCTGCAGGGGCTTCCGTGCAGCCCAGGCTGAGGTGGTGGAGCAGTGCCAGCACCTGGTGGAGGTGCACAACTGCTACTGGTGGGGCAGTGGGGCTAGATGAAGACAACAGCCCAGAGAGGCCCACTGCATGGGGGGGGAAACAGGGAAAGGTATAGGGAAAGCCTGCTCCCTGCTTGGCACTCGGTCTTCAGCCTTGTTGGACTTTTTGTGGTTTAAATTTATTTTCAATACAGAGTTGGAAGACACAGGCCCCAGAAACCTTTAAACCTTAGAAGTAAAGCAGCTGTCAAAGAAAGCAAAGTGTTTACATTAACTCCTTCCTCACAAACTGTTTAAGACCTGCAGGACACCTGGCTTTGCCTCTGCTGGGGCTGGCAAGGTGAGATGCCATGCTGGAGGCCTCATTCTCAGAATATTATCACCCATGGCATGTGTGCTGCAGTGAGTGAGAGCCACCAGTGAGCCATGCAGGAGCAGGTGGAGAGCCACCTCCAACTAGAGAGGTCGCTGTGGATGTGACAAAGTGGCAGAAGCAGAGAGAAAGGAGCAAATTAGGTTTATAGGCTCTTTATAAAATACGATTCAGCCTTGGTAATGCTACTGATTTATGTCAATCTGCAGGGTCAGGAAGGCTAAGGGTTGCTGGGGACTTCATGCAGGTGGCTCTAAATCCATAAACTGGGGACAACACCTTTCCCAGGCTCCTTCATCTGGAGAAAACCTTTTCAAGAGGAGTTTCAGTGGGCAGCAGGGTGAAATGCTGTTGGATGCAGCTCCTTTCCTGATGTGCTGCTGTCAAGGATGCAGAGTAGGTGCCCAAGTGATGAGATTTGGCCATGGACTTGCTGACTGATCAGCAAGGAGCCTGGAAAGAGCTGTTTGGGTTCTCTGCACTGCCAGAATTCCATGCACCTGTTACACATTGCTCACCACTGCACCTCACCCCTCAGTGAGGCTGAGGAACCTCTGGTGCCAGCGCATTACTTCCTCTTTTCCCTCTTCCTCACTCAGAACATGGTAGGTCTGGTTTTTGAAGCAGCCATGGCGAATCACCTGAAAGAAGAGCTTGAGTTTGTTTCATAGAGTTGGAACCGCCACACTTCCTAAAATATGAGATAGTCCTCTGTTCAACTCTGGGGTTCTGGGGTTCTGGGCTTTGTTACCAGTAGGAAGTTGGTGTATGGGGGAGATTCTCCTTTGTGAGAGGAAATATAAGGACAACCTAATGGATGGAAGGTTTCCCATGGCTACCTATCTTGACACTCTGCAGTCATGTATCAATGCCTCTGCAAATCCCACTGCTGTTGGTACCCACCCCATACACACCCAATTCTGTCCTTTTGGAAGGAAAAGCAGTGACAGGTGAAGTTCTGCAGGGACTCGGGTCTTCTGTGCAAGCATGAATCAGGCTGCCCAGTGAGGTCGTGGATGCTCATCCCTGGAGATGTTCAAGGCCAGGCTTTGAGAAACCTGGTCTAGAAGGTGGTGTCCCTGCCTATAGTGAGGGATTGGAACTAGATGATCTTAAAGGTCCCTTCCAATCTAAACCATTCTATGATTCTATGGCCAGCCATGGAGGAGAAGGCAAAGGCTAAGTAAGGGATGGCAGAGGCAGCTTCTTACCCTCTGGTTGTAGAGGCTGTGCTGCAAGCACTGGTGGCTTTTGAAGGCGCAGTAAGTGGGGTGCTGAACTCCACCCGAGTCACAGATCTGTGGAGATGGGAATGAAAACCAAAGAAAAGAGAGGAGAAGGAGAGATGGAGCACCCTCCCAGCACCCACCTTGCCTGGGACATCGCCCGCTTGGAAGGTTGCATATTCTGCCTGCAGCCAGAGCATCACACGAGGATCATCGCAGCCCCGGGTGGCTATCAGGCTGCACCAGTATTCTGGTCGCAGGCCTCCAGAAACCTGTGCGCCAAAATACTCCGAGGGCTCTGGGAAGCTGGTCTGCAAAGGGGTGGGGTGAAAAGAGCCGTGCGTTTCTCCCTCCTTCCCCACCACTGTGACCATCTCCTTCCTCGCAGGCCAGAAGGAGATGCAGCATGCTCGGTACCTTGTTGCCTGCAGCCCGGTGCTGGGCTGAGATCTGGGGGTTGATGTATGCGATGAAGCTGCCTGTCTTGCAGTGAACACGCCTCAGGTTGTAGATGTTCTGGCACTGCTCCATTTTCAGTGAGCAGAAAGCACAGGCAGGGCATAGGTCCATATGCTGCCTCCCAAGGCTGTCACACACCTAGGGAGGGGTGATGGTGCGGTCAGGGGGAGAGGCTGGGGAGCCCGGATCCCTGGTGTGGGTTTGCCTCACTGGCTCAACTGGGTTGGCTTCTCCCGGGGTGGCACCTGTAATGGCAGTGCCTACAAGCACTGCAGTCAGTACTACAGGGAGCCCTGCCCACAATGGGGGTCGAAGGTGGGCATCAGCATCTTTACCGAATCTCCGAACCCAAGGATCTTTTCTTCCAACTCCTTCCATGCCTGGGTGACAACTGAGGAGACACAGACTCCCTCCAACACTGCATAGCACAGGATCATCACTGCTTCCTTCCTCTTCAGGGCAAGAAGACTGGCAGAGAAATGGATGAAGGAGGTCAGTTCTCTTCCCTTGTCATGAGCTAAGATAAGCCCTTAGGTAAAAACAGAAGAGGAGGAAAACTGGCCTGACACAAAATAGAAAAACCTTTCTGAGAAAGCCTTGGCCAGCCTGCACAGTGAGTGTGCCAGCATGGTCTGCCTGTGCCTTTGCCTGTGCAACATGGAGGGGGGGCTTTCAGAGGGACTGGAGGAGGAGCACAGCTTCAGGGATTTTCCCAGTATCACCAAAGCAGCTGCTGTGTAGTTTTATCTTTACAATGGCACAGCAAGGTCTTTGTTAGAGTCTGCTGAGCGCCAACTATGGGGCAGTCCCATTGTGGTCTGGAGAATACTATGTCTCTCTTCTGCTTGAGCCAATGTTTTTGATGGAAAGAGGAATTAATTGGTAATAATGGTGGTGAATTAACTGTTCATCCAAACTCATGCAGGAAGTCACAGGTAGAAAACAGGATAGTAGGATAACAACAGTAAGAATGTTTTACGTCTTAGGAACAGCAGAAATTGTAGGTTATTATACAAGAATCATGTGAATTATCAACAATGATGCAGAAGACATAAAAACACTCATTAAATATTTCTTTCCTGTAACCAGGGAAAAGTCCCAGCGATAAACAGATGAACAGGCAAGAGCAGCAACTGCTGATGTTAAAAAATTCTTGCAATTCATTCATGTGCTAATGGGTAAGGAGGAGTTTCCCTGAGAGTGGCTGAGACCTCAGAGAATGGATGGGGGAACGAGAGGAAAGTCATTAAGGTGAGATTTCCTAACACCTGGAAAACATTCACAGAGAGTGAGAAGCTAAGGGAGCCAGGTGTAGCTGAGTGAGGGCACTGCTGAGTGAGCACTTGGTTAGACTGCACTTCTGCCTGCTCCTGAAATGAAGAGAGGCTTCAATGGTGACATGATTTCTCCATGTCTTGGAGGCTTGATAAAGATAGCCCAAATTTGAGTTAGGAGTGGGGCTGTAGGCAGAAGTAATTATCCAATGCCCCAGCAGCTCACAGTGAGCAGCAGCAAGCGAGCACGTCAGGATCTCTGAAGTGCCTCTGAAGGCACTGCTCTCAGTTAGATACTACAAGAGAACCTGGAAAATCTTGGTCACTAAAAATGTTTCCATGCTATTTTTTTTTAAGATGTTATGGTCAAAATTGTTTTATCAGAGTGCTGCAGATGTTGCTTGAGCCTGCATCTAGACAAGAGAAGGTGCTCCTTCAACACATGGTGTTGTGCTGCACTCTGGACAGGCTGCAAATAGGATTCAGACGCACAAACAAATTATAGTGGTGCCAACCCACAGCACATCAACAACATCCACTGAAAAAATGAAGGCACTTCAAAACCTACTAACTGATGTATTGCAAGACTGTGTATCTCTCACTCCAGTACAACACAGTACAACTGGCCTGGTTGGATGTTTGAGGAGGAAAGATCAGAGCAGAGAAGGAACAAAATGGTGGTCAGGTGAAATCTCCAGTGACTGGAAAAAAGGCAATGTCACACTTACTTTTAAGATGGGTAAAAGGATGACCCAGGGAACTACCAACCTGTCAGCCTCATCTCTGTGTCAGGGAACATCATGTAGCAGATCCTTCTATGCTATGCTAAGGCATGTGGAAGAGAGGGAGGTGATATGGGATAACCAGCATGGCTTCACAAAGAGCAGGTTCTACCTGACAAATCTTGTTTTTTATTACGGCATAACTGCACTGGTGGACAAGGAAACAGCCACTGATGTCATCTACCTGGACTTCAGTGAGGCCTTTGACATGGTCTTTCATAACATCCTTCTCCCCAAATTGGAAATTGATGGGTGGACTGTTTTATGGTAACTGATAAGAAATCTTACTCAGTAGCGGTCAATGGCTCAATGTTTGGATAGAGATTAGTGGCAGGTGATATTTCTCAGGGGTCAGTACTGAGACCAATGCTCTTTAATGCCTTCAGCAATGACATTGACTGTGGGATCAAGTGCACCCACTGCAAGTTTGTAGATGATGCCAAGCTGTGCAGTTGACATGGCCAAAAGACAGAATGACATCCAGAGAGACCAAGACAGGCCTAAGAAGTGGGCCCAGGTGAACCTCATGAGATTCAATAAATCCAAGTGCAAAGTCTTGCACCTGGGTTGCGGCAACCACTGCTATCACTACAAACTGGGGGATGTAATGATGAAGCACAGTCCTGTCAGAAAGGACTCAGGGTACTGGTGGACAGCAAGCTGGATATGAGTCAACCATGTGCCCTTGTAGCCCAGAAAGCCAACCATATCCTGGGCTGTATCAAAAGGAGCATGGCCAGCTGACTGAGGGAGGTGACCCAGCCCCTCTGCTCTGTGCTAAGACCTCACCTGGAGTACTGCATCCAGCTGTGGAGTTGTCAGCACAGGAGAGACATAGAACTCTCGGAGTGTGTCCAGAGGAGGGTCACAAAAATGACCCAAGGGATGGAACAACTCTCCAACGAGTACAAGCTGAGAGAGCTGGGGCTGTTCAGTCTGGAGAAGAGATGGATCTGGGGAGACTTGAGGATGGCCTTTCAAAAGGGGGCTATGAGAAAGAAGGGGACAGGATCTTCAGAAGGGTCTGCTGTGATGGGACAAAGGGAAATGGTTTCAAACTAGAAGATGAAAGATTTAGATTGGATATAAGGAACATATTTGTAAGATAAGAGTAATGAGATACTGGAACAGGTTGCCCAGAGCTGTGGTGGAAGCCCCATCCTTGGAGACATTCAAGGTCAGCTTCACAGGACTCTGAACAACCTGATTTAGGTTGCAGATGCCTCTATTCATTGCAAGGAAGTTGGACTATATGACCTTTAATGAGCCCTTCCAACTCAAAAAAAATCTATGATTCTATGAAAAGAATGCAAACTGAGGAGAGGAGTGACAGGTAGCAAAACTGACAAAGCTGGAAAGAATGAAAATGTGCCAGCACAAAGAGAAACAAAGTCCATGTACTATGGAGAGCACAGTTCCAAAACCTGTAAGATCTTTTATGTCTACTCCTACATCCCACGAGTCCATATAATCTCTCTTTTTTCTTTCTTTTTTTTTTTTTTTATTCCTTTCTAAACACTCACAGGAAAGCTTTTGAAATTTAAGCAAAAAGTCCCTCTGGTCTGTGCTGATCCCAGATGAGGATCCTGCCTGTGGCTGTTTAATACAGTCTCTTCAGTATTTCACTGTGACTGAGCGCTGGGCTTCCCTGGGAGAGCAACCAGGGCCAGCCCCTGGGTGCACCTAGTACTACTTCTCTGTAGAGAAGTGCTCTTTGAGTGAGAATTACCAAACATTTAGAGTTTATCTCTAGAGCAGTTGCTGCAGAGCAGCCCAAGAGAGCCAGATTTCAGTCTGCTGTGCTGATAAGTCTATGACAGCTGAAGACAGTCTCTGCCAGCACTCAGATCCTGGCTGCTCAGTTACAGCTGGATCTTAGGCTTTAAACACTGGCAAGCTACCTGAATCAGCTTGGTGGGATTTGTACTCTTTGATTAATGAACCTGACATTATTCTCCAAAATTACCTGAAACAATTTACCTACACATATATCACTGTTGTTTCACTATTCGTTTGCTATTCTAGTGGCATGTTTTGATTTTACTGCTTCTTTATCATACCAGCATGACCAAACCATTAAAGTGAGAAAGACATTTGCAGTCATTAAAGACGATATGAATAGCTCCAGTGTTTCCATCACCAAGATAGAAAAAGGTCTTGCTTGCTGTATTTTAAAGAAAAAAACAACAAAAAAGGATAACAATAACATGAAGCTTAGAATGTGTTTGCTACTAAGTGGTTTCAACAGCCCTTTGCTTTTTCCCACACAGTACTAGTGCAGCAAGTGCTGCCCAAGCCATATGCAAAGAACTAGAGGCAGAAGGGTAATGAAAGAGAACTCAGCTCCCATCTTCTTTAAAAAGAGTGCTTCCATAAGCAGCTAATAAGCAGCAATAAAGCATCTGCTGAATGTTGATGACCTACTTGTCAGAACAGACTCAAAGTCAGGAGTGGGCAGAAGCCTGTGCTTCATGACAAACTTCATAGATTCATAGGCTGTACTCAGTATGGCCTAACTACAGATACAGATCAGAACGCCTCACTCTGCTGAGCACTACTCACTGACTTCGCTGGTGACCACATATGCAGAAGCACAAAACAAGGTGCTATAGCATCCTCTCACTCATAGAGGAAATAGAGTCATGTTGTCAGCCTGAGGCTAACAAGAAATTATGTTGCTCTTGCTTTCACATCTATTTTCAGCTCTATCTCTGTTTTACATCTCTGCTCTAAGGCTGGCTGCCCTTATGGTTGCAAGTTGGGTTGGTTTACCAGCCCTGTTTTACCAGCACTAGGTGCACCTGGGCCACTGCTGGTTTCCTTCCCAGAGACCACAGATCAGAGATGTTCCCTGCTGCTACTCATGGCAGCACTGAGGTTCTTGGTCTGGTCACAGAGACCTTAGAGCAGTGGTGAACACCCAGCCCAGCCTAACAGCACTGCTGCCCAATCCCTGTACTCATCAACACACTGCTGAGCATGGAAAAGGCTGCTGGAAACGTTGGAAACGTTGAAGACCTGTCATGGGAATACAAGCTCAGCTTAGCACCTCTGCACCATAACGTCATAACTGCTGTCCTGGAAAATGTTTAACAATACTTATAGGCGATGTCTCAAAGGGAAAGTGAAAAAACACAACTGAGAAAATTCATCTAAGTCAGAAAGTTCATCTAAGTCACAGAATTCCTCTGTGACAAAAAGACAAAACTTTGGATAAAAGCCCATCTTGCTTTAGTGACTTGAGACATGGAGCAACACATCTCTGCCTACTTCACTTTTGGGGTGTTGCTGAGGAGGGCTGGTTGACGACATGCACCTCTCCCTCAACATAATGAAAAGAATTTGGGCCGTTACTGTGCAGCTGCTGAACATCTCCGATATCAGCACGCGGCAAACAGGAGAGAAGGAGCAAACAACGGATTTGCAACTTCTGACTTTCGGGGATTGCTGCAGGAAACCAAAACCACTAAGGGAAAGATAATGTTAACAGATTCAGAAAGAAAAAGATATATATATTTTTCTTTTAAAGCATATCTCAAGTAAGACATGGCATGGTTATAACGCGTTGAAGCCAAAAAGGATTTGTTGACGTGTCTTGTAACCCACAACAGTAAATATCTTACAGTCCATTCATAACAGGAGATGTTTAACAGTACATACTAGGAATAAATCTTTTTGAGCCAGTGAGTCTGAGAAATCTCTCTCAAATTCTTAGCATGAGGGCTGAGGGGATTTCCAGCCACCTGACATCACCTCAGAGTGCCAGAGATGTCTCAGCAGCCTGTGTGTGCCCCAAGACCAACAGTGCAAGTCAACTGACAAGTGCTGGACACAGGAGTCACTGGGAATGTGGGGCATTACTCTGTCTTGGTCCATGCACCAGGAATCTGGCTGTGTCAACAAGACTTGGGATGCTGAATGGGATGCAGGGGTCATACAGACAAGCACTGTAGCAGCAGGAAGTTCTGGAAAAGGGGCAAGGCAGTTCTTGTGTTGACATCCTCCAATGTGTTGCACTGTGTTGCTGAGTGGTATGTACAGACCTGGTGCGTGTTGTTGTCCAAAAAGGATGATGAAATTTGCCACAGAAATGAGAGTTGCAAGGCTTTATCATGTGAGCTACAGAGCTCTGCTCAGATTATTCCAGGATTGAAGAAGGGCATATAGGGAACTGTGTGGAGAAGAAATACAAGGAGGTAAGAAGCTCTTTAATTTTGAGGCAGAAAGCAAAATAAGAATCAAAAAAATGAAAATAGATACAATAAACTGCATCTTTTTTTCTCCATAATGAATCACTGATAGCAGAAACAGTACATAAGTGTGCTTTGAGTTCTCAAACTTGTTATTTTGCTGTCATTGCCATCTCTCCCTCAAGGTCACCACCAGCCTCACTGAGTAGCACAGAGCAGCTGCCACAGGGAGGGCCAAGTGAGGAGGGATGGGAGCCCCGCTGGACATGAGCCTGCAGGGCAGCCGTGCATCCTGGGCCCAACACCCAGGTCACAGCTACACACGCCTGGTGTTAAACCCCGTGCTGAGCAGGACCCTGTGTGCCAATAAGTCCTACCCATCACTGCAGGAATGGAAATGCCTCAAAGCACGGTGCCCCTGTTTTAGGTCATGCTTTGAAGTCCCTTGGAGAAGAGGCAGGATGTGGCAAGCAGTAAAGCTGACAGGCGCAGCCTAGCTCCCCTTTTTATCTCGCTTGAGTTTAAGCTTTGCTTAGCATGATTGATGGCACTCGGCTGTCAGGTTGCAGACACAGTCAGCATTAGTGTCTTTGAGGAACCCTGCAACAGTATAACGAGTGTCATCTGCAATCACAGCGGTCCCTCTGTAATCCCAATATAACTGAATCAGAGCAAGACTCAATTTTGAGGCAGGGAAAACAAACATATCTTCAGTGAAGCATAATTTTGCCTTAGACTACATACACCAGGAAATGTTTGCTGGGCAGTAAAAGCCTGCTGCAGTGTTAGGAAAGAGGATGACACAAGTTACAACCTTGTAAGAGAACAGTTATGGTTTTAAGAATTTGAGGCAATTACATGGAGAAGTGGGATCTCAGGCTTAACTCTAGCAGCACGTGGTGTTTTCAGAAGACACCACATGTGCAGTCATGCACAAAGCGATGCACTTACAGGAAAGTCACTGCCCCGCGACAAAGAGAAGCTGAAATGACATATCTATGAAAATCATATCCTCTGTACCAAAGTACGGACGGACCAAAAACAGATGTGAGGGTAAGAAAATGATGCTTTGCAGACCTTTTCTGTTTGGGCTCAGCAACCCAACCTGCCTGAACAGTGATGTGGATGGATCCTCTCAGGTCATCGCTAGATCACAGGAACAGAGAAGGATGCAAGAAATGTCTGCAGCAAGCTGGACTGTCACAGGTCTGGAGTAGGCCTGGTGTGGGAGCAGCTTTGCTCTTGCAAAGTGATAAAATGCAGATGCTCTCAAAGCCAGAACTACGAACAACCCAGGGAGAGCAGTGCTCAAATCCAGAGCATGAAGACATGCATGTGCTTGAAAAGCAATACAGGTCCTGCCAAGGTAGGAGCAAGGCTCTGTGCTCCCTGGTCCTGGGTTGAGTGAAAACAGAGCAACCCTCAGAAATCTTCTCGAGCCTGGCTGTATGAAGAAATACCTGCTTGATACTGTGTGCAGGGCAGCATAGAGATACAGTGGTGTCTTCCAGAAACCCAAGGCACTGTGAGTGTAAGGAAGCACCTCCTGCAGGTTGCCCAGTTTGTCAGTAGCTGGAAGCTGGGAGGAGGGTGAGCGCAGTGTGGGGAGGTGAAGAAGGCAAAGCCCTTCCTGCATACAGCTCAGGCTCAGCCAAAATGCAATTTTTCATGACTCGTCACCAGGACAGCAACAGAACACAGAACAGTAACGGAACACCTATTAGCAATGCTCACTCTGTGCTCAAGCAAGGGCAGGGAGGTGTCCAAGGGACTGCTCATGCAGGAACACCTGCTCTGGATGGGGCTTGCTTCTCAGAGCTCACCCCCATACTCAGGGCAGGGCCACTGGCCATGCTGCTACTAACACATGAGGAGCAATCTGTGTGCATGGTAGGTGGCAATCACCACTGCACCAAGTGTGGAGCTGAGTCTGCCTCACCTGCCAGGGGGGGCCATGTCTTGCATCTTCTCCTTTGCACCGGTGGTCACACTCCCCAGATCTGAAGTGACGGCGGGGACTTCTGTGCCCGCCGCGGTCTCCAGGGAGAGCGCTGCACTGATAAGCTGCCAGACGCCACGCTGCAGGCGGTGCTCCCAAGTGCTCTCTGCCCAGGCATGGGACTGCGAGGGGGCAGGGGTGGGTGGCACTGGCAGGGCAGATGATGGTACAGGTGGGCCCTTGTCCTGCAGGGATCTGGGCACCACTGGCATGGCTGGTGGGATCTTCCGCACCAGTGGTTTCTGACTTGAAAGTGCATAGGAGTACTTCAGAAGCATGTCCACGTTGGAGTGCAGATGGAGGTCAGCAGGAGAAAGAGGCGGCTTCTCTGGTACTGGGGAGAGAGCAGAACAGGAGGGTTGGGAGCCACTCCAGCAGTTATTCTCCAGGAGCATGGAGGGCACCCTTCTGAGCGCAGCCATATAGCTGCCTCCCCCTCTTAGCAGAGCCATGACCATTCTGCACAGGTGCTTCCTGATGGACTGGGACTATTTTTGCCAGTCTCACAATCCTTCACAAAATCACAGCATGGCTGAGGCTGGCAGGGCCCTCTGGATCATCTGGCTCAAGCCCTGTTCCAGCAGGGACACCCGCAGCCGGTGCCCAGGCCCACCTTCAGGTGCCTTCTGGAGATCTCCAAGGAGGAGACCCCACAGCCTCTCTGGGCAACCTGTGCCAGTGCTCCATCATCTGCACAGCACAGAAGTGCTTCCTGGCATTCAGAGGGAACATTCTGTGCTCCAGTTTGTGCTCACTGTCTCTTGCTCCTCAATCACAAGACTCATTCACAAGGCCAGGAAGAGGGAATTTCCTAGGCAGTGTGCTGACATGACAGCACCTGCATGTCTACCAGTCCCACAGCACAGCATAGACCCAAACCTCACATCCAGTGTTTCTGGAGGGAAGAGCAGCTATGGACAATCATCAGGCAATCAGAGGCACTCAGAGCCATTCAGTGCATCCATACCTGCTTCTGTAGGAGAGCTTTCATCTTTTGCCCAAAAGTCCACATCATAAGGTTGCTGGTCTGGATGAAGAAGGCCTTTTGGAAAAAAACTCGGACATGGGATTCGCTGAGTGGAAAAGACAGAAATAAGAATCCCTTCCCTTCCCTTCCCTTCCCTTCCCTTCCCTTCCCTTCCCTTCCCTTCCCTTCCCTTCCCTTCCCTTCCCTTCCCTTCCCTTCCCTTCCCTTCCCTTCCATTCCCTTCCCTTCCCATCTACTCTCCCTGCATTCCTTTGTTTTGTCTCTTGCTTGCATGCAGCTGCTCACAGCACTAATTAAAACAATGTGCAATTTTGGAGGCATGTGCAAGATTCTGTACAACAACAGTATCTGTTGTCTGTTTTCTGTATTCTTCTGTTCTGGCCCCTTCCTTCTCCCAGGTGATGCTTCTCTCTCATGGCCCAAGTCCCACTGCTCACCTTGACATAGAATTTGCGCTTGGAGCAGCGATACTGGGCAAACTGGCAGAAGGTCTGAAACCGTGGTGCCTCAGGGAAGGCAGAGCAGACAGGTCCTAGGGATGGGTGAGAGAGAAGGGAGGTGGGGGCAGGCCTCAGGACCAGCCAGAGCATGACTGGGACCAGCATCTCTCAGAGAGAGGCTTATTTTCAGAGCATGCTTGTGATGAACGGAAAGTTAAAGCTGCCCCCAGGTGGAAATCGCAGTTTGGTACTGCTAAAACTCCTGACATTTGATGCCACGTGTTTCGCTATGCACCCCCCAGCGGTTCAGTTCACCCATCTGCCCTTATCTACACGGCATCTTCCTTTCTACAGAAATCCAAACCTCCTGTTTGCAGGACACAATAAGGATTCTTCTTATTCACTAAATCACAGAATGGTTTAGGTTAAAGAGGACATCTGAATGTCACCCAGTCCAACGCCCTGCTCAAGCAAGGCCACCTAGAGCACTGTCCCTGAAAGGTGAAAACATACGAGGCAAGTAGCAGTGGTAGGTTAAGAGATGACCAGACCAGATCTGGGATCACCAGGGAGGACAACCTCTACAAAACAAAATACATAGGTCACTCTGAAAGTAGTGCTTCCTATTTATTTGTATGGAAACTATAACTGATACAAAGAGCACAGTAACACCATTTGATAGAGCAAATTCTCTTCTACAAAACACTATTTTTCAACATAATCACCACTATTAGCTAAGCGTTTTCACCAGCAGTGAACAAGAGCCTGCATGCTGTGCTTGAAAATATTTGCACCAGTGGAGATGACCCAGTGTTCCACAGCTGCTACAACAACATTGTTGCTAGGAAAATGTTGCTTATGCAGATCATCTTTCAGTGGCTCCAACAAATGGAAGTCAGAAGGCATCAATTTTGAACTATATGGTGAGTGTGGTAGGACAGTCCAGCCAAGACTGGCAATGTATTCCATGGTCTTTCAACTGGCATGGGGCCTGGCATTACTGTGTTGTAAGAGAAAGGTTGTCTTCTTTTCTGTCCTGACTTTGGAAGTTCAAGCCCTCAGCTTAGTAAGCATTGTGATGTAGTGGTAGGAGTTGATGTTTTGTCTGAGTTCCAGAAAATGCAGAAGGCTCCCCCCTTTCCTATCTTAAAAGCCAATGCACACTACTTCACCCACTGAGGGATATGTCTGAAACTTTTTCTTCGATGGAGAATTCACTATGGATTGCTGTTTTGATTCCAGCTCATAGAGATGACACCCCATCTTGTCACCATTAATGATATGATCCAAGAAACTGTAATCTTCAGTCACGTATTGGTTCAACAGGTCCCGAAAAACTTGCATGCAGTGTTCTTTCTGTTCCTATTTGAGCATCTGTGGATCCACTTGGCAAAAATTTTCTGATATTCCAACGTTGCCACCATCATTTCCAATGCATCACAGATGATATTCAGCTTCATATACAGTTCCCTAGTTGTGATCACTGATTCACACGGATGAACTGATTGAGATGCTCTTCATTTCATGATGTGACAGCTGTGCATGAATGTCTGGAATGTGCCTTGTCTTTCACATCACTGTCGCCTCTGCTGAAATGCACCACCCACTGCCTCACTGTGCTCACATCCACTGTTTGGTCTCCATAAACATTCAGCAAGCATTGGTGAATGCTAATGGGTGCAATTTTTTCCCACATAGAGGAATTCAGTGACATACCTTTGCTTCATCTTCACACCCATGTCAGACTCCATTTTGTCACCCTGCCCCTCTGCTGCCCTCTGTAGCATGGCAACAAAATGTAATAGAATATTGGCAGGGAGGTTTAGTCTCTACTGCCATACCAGCAACGTCCATCCACCTTTGACATTGATGGTCAAAATAAATAATAAAATAGGAAGCATTACTTTCAGAGCAGCCCTTGTAAGTTTGCAGTGATTCTAGCCGTACCAGGGTTAGTGGAAAGTCCAACATGCTGTGGGCAAAGTCTGTGCCTGTGCACACCTGTACAACAGCCTTTTGAGGGCACTGCTTACCTTACTGGCTCAAATCTGCAGCCCAAAACCCTGGGAAATTTTGGGAAGGAGGTGATTTTGTGCTCCATCTGCTCTGCACATGCATGAGCAGAGCAATTCCATGGCTGCCTATGTCTGCAGGAGAGCTTAGAGCTCGACGTGCTCACCATTTTGATCTGTGTCCTGCCTTCAGACAAACACCAAAGCTCCTCCAGCCATCCTGCCCACTCCTGCAGCATTCTGTGAGCCCACAGAGAGTGGAGAAGCCACTCAGGAGCCTCCTGGCTCCTCTGGAACCCAGAAGAACTCTTTGTGGTCCCAGCAAAATGCAACACCCTCAATCCAGCTACGTGTAAGCAGGTAGGGAAAATTTTAGAGAGAAAAGTGTCTTTGGGAACCCTCAGAAAACAGCACAGTAACTGCAGGTCTGGTCCCTGCAGGCCTGCCAGGGGGGTTCAAGCACTGATGGAGGTGGTAGAGATGGGTTTTTTCAGCATTCATTGCGCAGAAACCGGAGCATCCCATTCTGCCATGTTATTGGCTTAGAGTTGGCTGTTAATTTTGAGAAAAGCAACGGGCAGACCCAAACATGAAGATGATCAGAAATCAGGGAGGACAGACCTGCCGCATCATACGGAGGCAGATACAGGCAAAATGCTGAATAAGTCAGCGGTCTTCAAAGGAAGTGAGGAAGGTTTAAGGTTCTACATGTAAAAAACATGCGGAAAACACCACAGGTACTACCTGCACCTGAGGCTGATTACTTGAGAAGTTGCGCTCTGCCATGCAGTAAGCAGGAGGCCATAGACCTGTCTAAATGGTACCTCTTCTCTTGCGCTTAGCATAAAGATTCACCAGCAAAAATATAATGTCAGCTGTTCATCAGGAACCAACTTGACTGAAATGAACCTGACATCTCCCTGCCCTTTGCCTTTTCTCTGAATCCTCTGACATTCTTGCCAGGAGGAGACCTTCCTGCACTGTTAATTTAATGCATAAAATCTTTTACTTTGTTCCTGTGCTCATCCTGCCCGTTTGCTTGCTGCAAACAGCTACAGCTTCTGCTGGATCTCAGGAGGCCATCTCCTTGGGCTTTGTGGCCAACTCCACGTGCAGGAGCTCCAAGTCCTGAAGGGTTTCCAAGTAACAAGCAATTATTTTACAATTACATCTTCACTGAAAGATGGAGCCAGCCAAGTTACTTTTATACCTGTGTTAGGAAAACTTCCTCTTGACACAGTTCATCCACGTAACAGAACACTAGGAGGTTACATGTACATTTCACAGAATCATAGAATCATAGAATCATAGAATCATAGAATGGCCTGGGTTGAAAAGGACCATAGTGATCATCTAGTTTCAATCCCCCTGCTATGTGCAGGGTCACCAACTATCAGACCACACTGCTCAGAGCCACAATGGCTTAGGCTAGAAGGGATCTAAAAGTTCCACATCTGCCAGAGGGAAGGGCTGCCACCCTGGGCCCTGCTGCCCTGTGCCCCATCCAACCTGGCCTTGAACATCTCAAAGGATGAGGCATCCACAGCTTCGCTGGGCAGCCTGTGTCAGTGCCTCACCTCCCCGAGTGAATCATTTTTCCTAATATCCAACCTAGATTTCCCCTCTTTTAGTTTAAAGCCATTCCCTCTTGTCCTATTACTATCTGTCCATGTAAAAAGCTGGTCTTCCTCCTGCTTATAAGGCCCCTTTAAGTACTGGAAGACCACAGTGTGGTCTCCCTAGAGTCTTCTCTTCTCCAGTCTGAACAAGTGCAGCTCCCTCAGCCTTTCTTCATAGGAGAGGGTTCTCCATCCCTCTGATCACCTCCATGGCCCTGAACTTCCCTTCTTTAAAGCACGACATAACTGCTTTCCTGAGCACCACATGTGAAGAAGCACAGTCAACACTCACGAGTGCCAGGACTGCCCAAGTCCTTGTAGGCAGTGGCTAAGCTGCCCGTGTGGCTTCAGCAGTGGGTCCCTGCTACAAGGGAAATGCAGGAGGCTTCAGAGCGAGATAGATGGGGATCAAAGATGTTGGTCAACAGACACCAACCCCCTCTGCTGTCAGGGGTTGGGTACCGGGAAGTGAGAGACCCAAAGCAGAGCAGCAGTGGGAATGTCTCCAACCACTAGGATGGTGGCTTGGTGGTCCACAGTGGTGGACTGTACCTAGCTCCTCAGTGTCAGGTGCTAGCAAGTGAGGCAGGAAGCCCAGGACCTCTCCCTGGGTCTGTTGGTGCAGGATGGGAACCCTTCCCCTGGCACAGCTGCAGAAACAAGCAAGAAATAGTTGCCCTCAAGCTGCAGTCCAAATAAGCAGAGACATTTGGATAATCATTCATTTCATTGACGTTCATAGCTAAATATAAAGACATATTTTTTTATGAGAAAATTGCTCCTATTTTTTTTTTCTCAGAAGAAAAATAAAACAGAAGTAGTCCCAAGTTTTTCAGCTGCAGAGATATAATTATGCCACTTAAATTCTCTGATGCAGGGGTGCAGAGAAAGTATGATTGCAGAGATTTAAAGGGTGCTGTTGCTATGGCACTTTCTGAACTGGGATGTTTCTTGGCTACAGAAATGTTAAACACTTTAAAAAGCAGCTTATCAGCTCAAGGTTTCTTAAAGGCCTACGATAGCCTTCTGTATTAAACCCTAAATCTAGCTGGAAAGAGCTGTTCATTTCAGCAAGGGTAATCTGGGAGGAATACAGAGACACTGCAGAAGCATCCAAGGATGAAGTTAGGAAAGCTAAAGCCTAGATCTAACTGAAGCAGGCCAGAGATGTCAAGGACAATGAGAAGAGGTTCTTTAAGTTATTAGGTAACAAAAAAAGACCAGGATAATGTGGGCCCATTCTTTAAGGAGGCAGGGACCAAATTATTCAGGACATGAAAAGATTTGATGTACTGGATGCCTTTTTTGCTCCAGTCTTTACTAGCAAGAAAAAGGGAAGACTGAGGCTGTATTCTTGGTGGAAGACAATCAGATCAGGGAATACTACAGTGAACTGGATCCATGGATCTCAATGGGATGAACCCTCAAGATGGCAGATGTTATTGTGAGTGTACTTTTGGTAATTCTTGAACAATCATGGAGACTGGAGAAGTGCCCAAAGACTAGAGGAAAAGCAAACGACCCTGCCAATCTCAGGAACAGTGCGAACCTTGGGAAACAGAGGCTAGGCAGGCTCAAATAGGTCCCTGGGAAAGTGCTGGAGCTGCAATAATGAAAACCATTTCCAGACAAGTGAACAACCAGAAAATCATCAAGAGCCATGCTAGATCAACAAGATAAGGTTCTATAATAAATATGAAATAATATGAAATAACTGCCCTGGTAGATGAGAGGAGAATGGTGGATATTGTCTACCTGGATTTCAGTTAGGCTTTTGAGGCTGTCCCATATAAGATCCTCAAATAATTCTAGAGAATTATTTGATGTGTGGACTGAATTGGCAGACAGAGAAGTGGGTTGAAAACTGACTGGCTGAGTCCAGAGGGCAGTCATTGGCAGTGAAAAGCCTAGTGGGAGGCCAGTAACTAGTGGTGTACTACAGAGGTCAATATTTCATCCGGTCCTATTCAACACCTTCATTAATGTTCTAAATGACAGTTTATGGAGTCCAACAATGGGCCATAAAGATGATTAAGAGACTGGAGTGCTTCTCTTACTAGGAAAGGTTGAGAGAACTGAGACTGTTCTGCCTCGAGAAGAGAAAGCATAGGTGGATCTCATTAGTGTCTATAAATACCTAATGGGAGGGTGCAGAGCACAGAGCCACGCTCTTTTCATTGGTGCCCAGTGCCAGGACGAGAGACAATGGGCACATTCTGGAGCACATGAGTTCCAGCAGGCAGCCCTTCTTTACTGTGGATGGCAGAGCAGATCTTTCAGATATTCAGAAGCTGCCTGAATATGGTCCTGGGCACCCTTGCTGTGAGTATCCCTGCTAGAAGAGGGGTTGGACCACGTGAACCCAACCTTCCTGCGATTCTGTGAAGAGGAGAGGTGATATAATAGCAGCCCACAGTGACTTGGAGGAGGGCTAAAGAACAGGAAAGAAAACCTCTTCTTGGTGGTGCCAAATGAAATAAAAAAGAAAAATCTGGAAATTCCTGCCTGAGAGGTTCACATTGGCCACTTTTTTTGCAAGGAAATTGGCGCAGCACTTGAAGCTCCCAGACAGGCAATCAGAACAACTGTGGAGGCTTCTGTAACTTGTCTGCCCAAAGCCAGGGTGATCTAATGCTGAAATTGTATTGATCTGAGTCTGACTTTGGACTACAGACCCCAGAAGGGCCCATCCCATCACCATTCCCACTGTCTGTAGGCATTTTGACAGCTACTGCTTCTGGAGGTGAGGTGATCCCAGCAGCACCCTGAGGTATTCACAGTGTCCTACCTTCAGGGACATGGCCATGGTTCTCCTGCTCATCCAGCCGCAGGACTGCAGGGCTGAGGCAGCCAAAGGTCTGACGTAGGTGGCAGGATGCATGGGCCTTCCAGATTGGCCACAGGCTGGAGAAGAAGAGCTGGTACTCGTTATCGGACAGGGGGCTGCCCACGGGAGGCACTGGTGGCGCAGCAGAGGATGCCAGCAACATCAGCAGTCCTGGGGAGACAGCAGAATGTACTTCCTCTCTTTTGCCTTTGGCTGGGGTCCCCCTTCTCTCCTTCATCCTCTGTGCCACTTTCCACTCTACATCCTTTCTTAGAACCTCCAGATCCCCCCCTGTTTGAGCATGATTGAGAGCTGGAACAGAGAGCAGGCCCAACATGATGGTCCTGTGAGAGGCACGGGGCTGGAGGAGATGTGGGGTGAGGGCACAGTAGCAGGGAATTCTAACACCCACCCCCTAGCCTAAGCACAGTGCCCCAAGGCCCTGCTGTGGCCCCTGGGAGGATGGGCAGCAGCCTCGTTAGTCACTCACTCAAGAGGGAGGGCAACCTCAACATTTCTACCCCTTGCCCCAGCGCTCCCCTCCTGCTGGGCCTTCTGCTTGGTGGCCATGGCAGCAGCGGAATGAGAAGGGGATGGCATCACAGCTGGAGCCTGGAGCCCTGTTGGTACCAGTAAGGTGGGAAAGGCTGGTGGGAGCTCACAGGGACATGAGGTGCGAAGGGCTGATGAGGGGACATGTGGACACAAGTCCCACTGGTATTAGTGAAGTGGGAAGGGCTGGTGGGCACTGGAGTGACCGAGGCGCGAGCTCATGATGTGAAAGAGCTCTAGCATGACCATACCACAAGGGATGAAGGAGCTCATGCAGAGAGCAGATAGATGGGGACTAGGGGACAAGGCAATACCAAGGAGCAGGAGTTACGTGTGTCCCTTAAAACTTCAAAGTATTTTGTGCTCTTCTGCAGAAGAAAGGATATAAAACTGATTCCTTTTCTACCTGCAGAGACTGAAGCCCACCTCATGCCTCCATAGAGAGTGTCCAACCAGCAACTTGCTTCAAGAATCACTAGGAAATCAGTGTCAGCTCTCTTGGACAGCTGTGCCACTTTCTGGCTGATTGGAGTCAGTGGAGCATCTTCCAGAGGGAGTGTCCCAGGCAGTAGGGAACAGAGCTGTGCTCTGGACATGAACACCTCCATGGAATAAGGAGAGATTTTGACTGTGGAGTTGGCAGAGCAGTGCTGGTACAGCCTGTGAGCATGGAGCAGCCCAGGGGCACTCAGCTACCAAGGCTGAAGCCCAGTGAGCAGACACAGTGACCCTTGAGCACACTGCATGGTTGACGGCCAGCAGTGCTTGGGAGAGCCTCCTCTGCCTGGGTGCCTTCTGATGTGACAGAGAATGACCACAATCATCATGGGCAAGGAGCTGTCAGTGTGGCTGTGGCTGCAAAGCAACGTCTGGCACAGCCGCACCAGAAACTGCATCCATAAGCAAAAACCAGGGCAGCACAGAAGCTTTCAGTACCCACTGCCGCATCACACAGCCTAATCTGATCTGAGATCTGCAGGCAAAACAGAGTGTTGGACAGCCCAAACAGCAGGAAGCCCCCAAAAAAGTGGTTTCCAACGCAGATCGCAGGAGATGCAAGCAGCTCTGCTTTGTGCAGCAGCTGCAGAGAGAATGCAGATATGCTGGCTGCCCTTGCAGAGCACCAGCTGCCAGTGAACAAAGTGGCCACACAAGCTGCCAGGAAAGATCAAAACACTGCAGCCAGGCACTACAAAGGCATCTGGCAGCAGCACAGAGCTCTGTGTCTCCCCGCAGGAGACAAGCTACTGTTTGCTCCAAGAGGTCCTGTTGACAGGCAACACTTCCTCGAGGCTTGAAGGTCAACCTTTTAACAACAGCACTGAGTTTTAGGATGCTTTTATGGCATCTTTCAAACACAGTGAGCAGGAGACATTTTCTAGCTGTTTCTTGCCACTCCCATTAAAACAGACAACAAAGCTCAAGCTTTTTCCATTTCTTCTTTTTTCCATTGCAGAGTTTGAGATGCATTTTAGACATCTCTAGAGCCTTCAGCTCCCCAGACTCATGAATCACCTCTGCTCTGCAGTGACAGCAGAGTCCAGGCTGTGTTCTGCCATCACTGGGCATCTCCCTGGGGGAACATAATGCTCACCTCGGTGGCTGATGGAAATTCATGACTGAGGAAAGCACCAATCTGGCACATCACACAGGGTTATCACAAGAGCTCCTGTTTGGACCTGCTGTTTATGGCATATAGATGAAGGAAACAAGAATGTGCATGCCAGAGTCCCTGAATGTACACTGGGAATTCAAACATGAGGAATATGATGAAGGAGCTGACAAAGGAATCATTCTTGGTTGATGTTCTAGTAGCAGATCCTAGGGAGAGCTACTGTGTATTTAGAAAAACTATGTTTAGTGATGTGAGGACAGGTTGGCTGCCATGTACCTGAAAGCTTTCTGAGGCTGAGTCCATCCTACCTCTGTGAGTACCTTGGGTTTGGTTCAGCTTGTCAGAAATCCTTCAGGGAAATCTTACAGTCCACAAGTGCACAGAACAGCATTGTGTAGTGTGCACCAGGCAGGGGGATGGTGAGTGCAGTGGAAGCTGTTTGGCTATGGTTGTGCCAGCTGGCTCTGTGACACTTATGTTGTATGTTTCTGCAAATACTATTTTATCTTCAAGGCAAGGATGAGGACAGGATAAATGTTTTGAACAGGAGTCCTCAATACAGAGAGCTTGCGTGGGCTGCTCCCTGCTGTGGGGTCAGCTGTCTGCAAAGTATAGCACAAGATCGAGGTTAATTCCAGCACTTCCTGGCATCTGAGGGCTATCTTGGCACCAGTAAAGTTGCACCACTGATGCCACACTACAACCCGTATCATTCATGCCCTGGAGCAGATTTGCAGCATTGTGTTCAGAAGCTTGCATTTCCTGCAGATATGTTCCTGCAGTTGTCTGAGTGGAGCAGGCTGTAACCCCAGGCCTACAGCACATCCTGCAGCAAGTACCGCCAATAGCACTGCTTCTGCTGGGAGAAGATCTGTGTTTTTCATGCCACTGTCTGATTGCAGTGTCCCCAGACACCTCTGACAGAAAAAATACCTGAAAGCCCAGGAGCACAGCTCACAGGCCCTTCCTCCTCTGCTACCAGAAAACAGTGCCCTCTCCTTGATCAGGCTGATGGAAAACATCACAGGATGGAGGTGAGCACACAGAAACGTGCTGGGTGTGATGTGCTGATGAAGCCTGACCAACTTCTGCCCTGCTGTGGTGGCCCTGTGAGGTGCTGACGGCCTGGCACCAAGCTTGGCCCTGGCTCTGCTGGGCAAAGGACCCACGGGGCCAAGGGGAGCGCGGAGCCTGGTCGGAAGTGGGGAAAGGGAGTGAGCACCAGCCTACTGCGAGCAGGGCTGGCGTCTCCACAGGCAAAAGCATGAGACAGCGTGGTGAACTAAACCAAAGTGGTACAAACTGATGAGTTTAATAGCAGGTTACCTGATCTTCGCTCTGAGTTGCACTTTATTTTTGTGGGTTTACTGTCACTGACCGAGAGCTATTCGAATGTGCTGGTAAATATAGCCTTGTTTTAACTCAGTGGGTGCATTAATCTCTTCACTCTTATACAAGCACTCTACGTAATAATGTGCATTAATTCAGATGGCCTAATTTTATTTTGTTAGGAAGTAAGGAAGTATTTTTTTACTCCCCATTTAGAAAGTGGAATATTTAATTGATTGCAAAAACATCATTTTAAAACGGTTTCTTGAACTAATAACTACAATGAGGCAGATTCTTAAAAGCATGCTTGAATGAACTGCTCTGGCCTTTCGGGCAGGCTGACTTGGGCAGAACAGCCTGAGCACACAGCCCGGTGCAAGCAGGGGGCTGGGCAACGGGGCTCCTGAGGTCCCTCCCCACCTAAATCTTTCTGTGGCAACTGAATAGCATCATCCAGGCTTTCAGAACAAGGAAATCTCACGGTCTCACACTTTTTCTGAATGCTTGTCATCGATGTGTAAAAACTAATTCCAGCCTTTTCTCCTCCCAGCCTTGTTTTCTGCTTTGAACAGGTTATCCCCTCAGTGGCAGTGACCCAATCCACTGAAATTAAATTGTACAGAAACTAAATCGTGCAGAAAGCAAATCTGCAAAAACAGACTGAAGTGGACAACTTCAAGAACATTTTCAAACCAGTAGGAGCTTAGTGCTCATCACAGGCTTGCCTGTCTTTAAGACACAGGCAAAAATGTCTTTTTTAAACTAACGTTTATTTTTTTAATGCATTTGGAAGAATAAACATAAATTAGCATATATTAATCAAGATGCTTGACTGTTTTTATAAATGAAATGCATTTTATTTTATAAGAACATGTATACATCTCCTGATACTGCAACTACTAGGCAATAGAGTTAGAAGAACTTCCTTCAGTAGTGTTTGGAAAGAAAGGCAGGATGCTGTTTTCTGTCTTGGTTTTGTTCGTCTTTAGCTCTATTAACACGTCACTCAAGAGAAGTTAAGCACTGCAGGTTAGTCTGAAGGAGGATATCACCTCCCCAATGGAAATCCACCACGAGAGAGATATAAGAAGCTCAGATCAGCCAAAAGGAATGTGTATGCTCACGCTTATCCATGGACTTGGAAGTCAACCCTAGAGGTCCCTTCCAACCTGAAGCTCTGTCCTTCCTGTACATAGCAGGTCCATATGTAGCCACAGAACCACTTGGAAAATCGTCTTGTGGAGCTGACAGAGCCCTTTGATTTCTCAGCAGTGGAAGTGATCTGGGAAACTTTGGGCCTGGACTTGTGGAGGAAGAATCCATGTTATTAACAGTGTTATTAACCTCAGAAACACAAGATCCAATTTCTGCTTGGGCATGAAAGTAAAACTCTTTGCACATATTTTATGCCAGCAAGGCCTTCTGCAAGATCCTTAGCCAGAAATCTGAACTATCACTGACAAGACTAAGGTCAGCTCTTCCTGGTTCACACAGCAGGGAGAAAAGTGCACTGTGGTCCTTTATACAGAACAACTGCTAGAGATTGCTGAACCAGCCAGGTCTGCTTAGTGCAGGGCCCTGGTTCCAAGTTCACTTGGAAGTTTGGATTATCACCTTAGCAAGCCACCAACACGCAGCTGAGACACGAGCAAAGTGTCTTGCCCTGCTCCAGCAGAAACGAAACATCAATGATCCCACTGCCACTTTGCACGATGACTCACTGCAGCTGTGTTGCAGTGTTCAGTCACCTCAGCAGCCCGCATGCTTTTAGTGAAGCTTTACTGAGGTGAGAGCACAACGAGATACCCTTCATGTCCCCTTCTGGAACTTGGAGAAAGCATCACCCATTTCTCTGCAGATGCTGGAGGGGAGCAAACCCATTGTCATCTGCAACTACCACCTCCTGATAAAGTGCATCTGTGCATCTGCAATGAGAAACATCCTGGGAGAAGCAAGCTATCTCTCAGGTAAATATATCTTTCTTCTCAGCTGTCAGCTTGAGATCTCCTGAGTGATTTGGTCAGCATTTGAATGAAGCCCTAAGCTCATCAGCAACATCACCTTTTTCTCGGAACCACACAGCAGCCACTTCCTATCTAGCTTGCCCTGCTGCAGCACTGTGCTATCCACACACCTCACTTGCCTGAGGACTGGCAGCAGCCTGACTTTGTAGGGGAAATGGAACCAGGTGACTTCCAGGAGTCCCTTCTAATCAGTGTTTCCAACTCTCAGATACATATATTTATACCTAGTCATTTTCTCATAAGAATTCATCCCCAATAATTTCAATGAACACCACCAGAGTCTGCGCTCGCTCTGCTGCCTGGGAACGATGCCCACTGGTAAGAAAATTGCGTAGTGAGAAGATAAACAGGTCGTTTGTGTGCATGGCCAAGTTTTATTAGTAGATGTGCTTACAGAAGTCGGCACAAGTCCTACTTCTTGTAGTGCTGCATTGCTCCAGCTACTGAATCTCAGATTTGACTTTAGCCATTAACTATGTCATTACCAATTGCTCCAAGAGGCGATTTCTCCAGCTCCATTTGAGAAAGTGGTTATGTTGTGCTGATTGCTATTGCAATGAATCTGTCAACCACCCAGCTCTATTTAAAGGAATTTGTGATGACTCTAACATAGTTTCTCCCTGTCTTAAGCACTATAATCAAAGTTTTGGATGAAGTAGAATTTTTGGATACTTGCCCACGTGATTATTCCCATGACAGGTAACTATTAAAAATGACCTTTCAAAATAAAATAAAATAAAATAAAATAAAATAAAATAATAAAATAAAATAAAATAAAATAATAAAATAAAATAAAATAAATCACATCAGGTCATTTTTGACAGATTTTCTTTTTGCTATTTCTGGTCAAAACATTTTTATTGACCTGGAATTCTCCTTTGTTTTAAAGAGAAGCAATTTGCTTATAAGTGCTGCCCTGTTTCAAACCTAGGTTGGTAACAGTCAGCTGACTTGTAGCAATCCTCTTGCCATCCCAGAAGTCCAGCACAGAGCTGATGCTTTTCCAGTGTTTTAAACCTGTCGGATTTTGGAACCCAGGCACCTATGGCAGCTTTCGCAGGGCTACAAATGCTATTTAGTGAAGATTACCAATTCACATTGTTCTCCCCAATAGACGCCGTTTAAAATCCTCCTTACTGTTTGCCTGAGAACTATATCATTCCAGTATGACACCAGCACAAACTCATAATAAATATTTTCAGAACACTTCCACCTCCTCTCATTACAAACAATTCTGCTATCTGCAGTTGGTAATGGACATGTGCCATGTTCAGTTACACCAGAAACAAAAGACAATCTAAAAAAAGCTGCTTGTGTTTCCAGCCCTGTCACTTGCAAGCTTTGTTTCCAATGGCTTCAATTTTGTACTTGGTCATTTCTAGCTTCTATTGATTCTATTACTTTCTCCCTTTGATTAAGTTTTGCACAGTTACTGCGTTCACTCCTCTTTCAATGCTAGTTTTTAATGTCCTTTCAACTGTCATCGTAAGCCGTTTAAAAATTCTTGGTTTTCACACATATTTGTCAAAATTCCCACTTTAAATACCTCTCTAGTAGACGTTTCCCAGAGAACTTCCAGCTAATGCTGGCCATCACAACCAGAGGCCTATCTCACCAAAAGCTATCGCATCCTTTGTCATTCTTGCACTTGGCCCAGATGCGCTTTTCAACTACAGACCATATCCTGCCTTTGCTCGTTAGTTCAGCACTCATTTGGTCAGTGCACAATGGAAGAGCCTGATGCCACCTATCAGAACTTTGGTGAGGCCTTTGACACAGTCCCCCATAGCATTCTTCTCTTAAAATAGTAAAGTAATGGATTGATGGATGGGCTGTTCAATGGATGAGTGACTGGCTGCAAGATCATACCCAGTAGCAGTCAACAGCTTAATGTCCCCACGGACATCAGTGACAAGCAGTACTCCTCAAGGGTCAGTGCTGGGAGCAATGCTCTTTAAATCTTCACCACAGACACAGACAGTGGGTTTGAGTGCACCCACTGCAAGTTTGTAGACAACACCAAATTGCATGGTACAGACAACCACCCAAAGGACAGGATGCCATTCACAGAGACCTAGACAGGCTCAAGAAGTGGGCCCAGGTGAATATCACGACATTCAATAAACCCAAGTGGGGGGTTTTGCACCTGGGTTGTGGCGACTCTTGCTATCAAGACAAGCCGGAGGATGTAAGGATGGAGCACAGCCCTGTCAGAAAGAACTTGGGGTTACTGACAGATGGCAGCTGAACACAAGCCAGCCACGTGCCCTCACAGCCCAGAAAGCCAACTGTATCCTAGGCTGCATCAAAAAAGTGTGGCCAGCAGGGCAAGGGAGGTGATTCTGCCCCTCTGCTCTGAGCTGGTGAGACCTCACCTGTAGTACTGCGTCCAGATGTGGAGTCCTCAGCACAGAAGAGACATGGACCTGTTGGAACACAGCCAGAGGAGGGCCACAGAAGTGATCCAAGGGATGGAACACCTCCCCTGCAAAGACAGGCTGAGAGAGCTGGGGCTGTTCAACCTGGAGAAGAGAACGCTCCAGGGAAAACTGACGGCAGCCTTTCAATATTTGAAGAGAGACTATAAGAAGGAAGGGACAGGCTCATTAGCAAGGTCTGATGTGAGAGGACAAGAAGTGGTTTCAAACTAAAAGAGAGGAGATTGGAAATAAGAAAAATTACGTGCAGTAAGGGTAGCAATAATGCACTGGAACAAGTTGCCCAGACAAGTGTTGGAAGATCTGTATTTGGAGACATCCAAGGTCAGGCTGGATCAGGTTTTGAGCAATCTCATCTAGCTGCAGATGTCCCTGTTAATTGCAGGAGAGTTGGACTAGATGACCTTTAATGATCCCTTCCAACTCAAAAGATTCTGATTTTAGGAACTGATTAAACTGATAAAGGCTATCTTCAGTAAGGAACATTTCCTCACCTGCCAGCATTACAACACTGCCTTATTAACAGCAGCTGGAGTTTCTGGCAACAAAGTGGTCCAGGGTGAAGGTGACTCACTGGGGAACAAGTTAACAGGATATCTAAAAAACTTGTCCACATTCTTGGATGCAAAAGCTTTGCCCTGATAACTTATTTTCTTAGCGTTCTGCCCGATAGCTATAGTGAGGGCTGGTCATCTATGTTCTTCCTCACTCATTTAACAGAGGACCACTGACAAAAAGAAAAGCCAACAAAAATGACAATAAGCATCTTTTCATTTGTGAGGAAATGACTAAAGAGGCAGATGTCCTCCACAGACATTAGAAAGCTTAGAAACTCTTTTGCAAGTGTATTAGTTGTATTTTAAAGGATGACCTTGGCAGAATGTTCAGGATTATTACATGAAAAAAGCTGTGCTGCATTTGTCAGTAGAAAAGCTGAGCTGAGAAAGAACTAAAAAAGAGACCAATTACTTACTTTGGAGGTAACAGCAAGACAAACCGAGCATTTGTTTGAATGAATTTTATTTAGTTCTATAGTATACAAGTGGGATTTGGATCCCCGAACTTTCCATCATCATCAACATAATGGAGAAGCTCCACTGTACTAAAGGGAGGGAGAATTCTGGTGCCAGAAGGCAGGCTAGATCAAACCGTTTCTCACCACATGGCCAGAAATTCTTCTTCCTTCATACAATGTGCTTCCCAGGAGAGCAGGTTTACCCCAGGAGTAAGAGATAAAGCTAGCTCTAAACACTCCTTCCTCCTTGCCCCAACAAAAGAGGCTGCTCAATGCCAGACAAAGTAGTGGAATGATTAAAGATAGGGAGTACATTAAGTTTTCAGTCTCTCAACCAAGCTACTAGATTAAGCAGTGGCCTGGTTACTCCCTCTCTCCTGAAAAAGATCCAGGAAAATAGAAGACCTAAAATGCTGAAGACTTACCTCCTTTCCTTCCCCCATCCCATAGCCTTGCTCTCTCAGCAGAGAGTAGGCAATGAACTCTGAGGAGGCTGAAGGAAAGCCAAGGAAAATCAGGGGCTACCTGAATCCCTGGGAATCTGGTGGCTACCCTGGTGCCCTCATTCACTCCCTTTGAGGTTCAGAGACCTGTTTGGAATAGTACACAGAGAGGGCCTCCCTTAGGGATTCGGAAGCAGCCAGGGATACAGAACATACTGGAACTGCCGTGAGGGTACACACCATTCCAGGGATGGCCCAAACCACAAACAGGGCAAAGACTCCCCCTAGCCAAGGTCCCAAGGGCTGGGGGAGCTGGGACGAGGCCCTGGCAGGGGGAAGAGAGCTCCTGCAGCAGTATCCAAGGCTCATGGGATTTTACTTCTTCTTCCTCTCCTGGGAACAGCGAGGGCAGAACCTGGTAGAAGGGAAAGCAAAAAACCAGCATTTATGATCTGATATGAACCCTGAGTTTACAGTTTCAAAGGATCTTTTCCAAGATACCAAAGCCTTAATTCAAGTTCTTTTGCTGAAAAAGTCTTACTCTCTTTAATTTTCTCTTATTTTCTCTTCTGTCATCCACAACCCTCCTCTTTTCAGAGACCAATGGGCCGTGCAGTATGTTTGTTTTAATCACTCACTCACCATTTTCCTCTTGGTTTTGTTGTCAGACCCACACAGGCAAAATGAAACCATTCGATGGAGCACTGTTGAGGTGGAGAGCATTCAGTTAAAAAGCAGTTCTCTTTTGAAATCATTGTTTCTGGTCTGCTGAAACTTCCCAATGTTTAATCACAAATTCTGAAACCACTAGTAGCAATCCTAACAGGATCTGTCAGAAAACAGGAGTCTCATATCCAACCTATACATCGTTAGTAAGCAGAATTATCCCTTGCTGAGTATGGGGCCAAGAAAACATCCATTTATTAGGGAAAAACCCCAAAAAAGCTGCACTAAACTGGCCAGTCCACTGCTCTTCCCAGCTGAGACGAGCCCTGCTACTATCACTGCTTCTACATCAGGCCCCACCCAAGCAGCACAAGACTTTCTGTAGGAGACTCTCCACTCCCTTCTCCCCCACTTCCATCAATACAGGCTCTTACATCTGGGTTGTCGCAGCCAATCATCTCCCCATAGGAGACCTGGTGGCAGAGGCAGTAAGTAGGCTCGTTGGGGTCCACAGGCATATCCAATACATCTGAAGGATGCACATTTCCAAATGTGACTGAAGGCATTCCATATTCTGTGCTACTGCAGGAAAGAGAAATAAATCAGGTTAGTAAATCAACTAGCACTGGTTCCCTTCATATCTCCCATTGCCCAGTGACAGCCACTCCTCTTTTTACAGCACATACATCCACATCCATTGAAGTGATCTGTCTTCCCCTTCACACCACACTCCCTTGAAAAAACTAAAAAGTCTCCTTCCTTTCTTTCCAAGGAGAAACACACAGGATCTGGTCGGGGTGGGGATCAAATTCTTCATAGGGAAGTCTGGCTAAGCCTCCCTTGGTCTGATTTGTAGTGCTGCTCCTCATTCCCCCAGGTGTCTTAAATGCTTACGTGCGGACAAGCTTTAATTTCTTTTGGGCAGTCTTTGGTGCCTCCTCATCAGAATTCTTCCCTTTAGAGCGTGCACGTGCAGCTTTCTTCTCTTTTTGGGCTCGGCCCTCTGGTAACAAGAGAAAAAGTTATTGCGTATTCCATTCTGTTAAAACAGACACCTGACAGTAACAACCTCTTCAGCACCAAAATGCAATCCTGCTTTGGAATGTACATTGGCTTTAGGCCACGCATCTCATCTTAATTTTTATCTAGTGGCCTTGAATATGCTCACACAAGAAGAGCCCAGGTCACCATCTTTTTACCTGTCCTTCAGATTCCAGCGTAACAGTCTGTACCACTTCAGTGCCTGCCTTCATCCCCACCACTTCCACAGTCACTTGGCTGCCTCCTGTATCAATCTGCAGCCCAGTGGTGGTACTCACTCTTCTTGCCCTTGCTGGAAGAACTGTCATAGTCACTCGATTCTATCTGCTTCTCCTTCAGGTCTGCTTCAAAGCGAGCAAGATCTGTGTCCAGCCGCCGGATGTGCTTATCGACCTGCAAAAAAGACAGTGACCAAGAGTTACCACAGAACAGAGCCCAAGACAGCAGAGACAGTACAGGGCTTGCACTAAGAGCAGAAAAGCAAGAGTGGGTGAAGCTCGAAAGAGAGAGATCGGGGTCTTCAGCACAGTCTTTCATAAAATAACCACCAGACACTTCCCTTCATACCATCTCATAGGTCTGCATAGCCAGCTGAACCTTGTCATCCCCAAATTCTTTGCATTTCCCGTAGGCCTCCTGGATTTGCTTGAGGAGCCCCAGTTTTTCCTCTGACGACAAAGTCCGTGCGTTGCTGATATACTCTGTGGCCAGCTTATCGATCTCCGCCTTGAGGTCTGAAACAAGTTGACCATTCAACACGTAAATATGTGTACATACATACACAGGGTCCTCATAGGAAAGCTGCAGGTTTCCTTCTCTTCCCCGAGGTCCCAGATGAAGGCAAAGGAAGAAAAGCCAGCCAGGCTGCACGATTCCTTTCTCATCACAGAAACCATCTCTAATCCTCACCTTCTGTTCTCTGATCCAGATCTCGCATGAGCTGGAAGTTTCTCTGCAGTTCAAAAGGCAGGTTCTCAATGCCTGCAGGGAAAGAAGAATACATAGAGAAGTCAAGTCCCTGTCCACGATGTCAAACCAAAGCTAAGTTCAACAGTACTGACTGCTCAGCTTAACTAACGCCACAGCAGTCCAGCGATTCCCAGCACTCTCTCCTAGTTCACACTGGCGTGCCTCTAGCTGCTGTCAACCATAAAGGAGAAAGACTATAAAAACTTGATGCGTTTAACCCAGGTGTTCGATTCTACAGCACCAGATCAGCTAACAGAAAACTGCCACGCAGAAAGGCATGAATTATAATAAGCAGAAAAGCAGAAAACTTTTTTTGTAATACAGTCAGTCATTCTGATGCAGCATTCTAACCCCATCCAAGAACTCACTTCACTAATAAACAAAAAAAACCCAAAAAACAGCACAACAGCTGGTAAATAACACCATTTAGTTACTTCTATGCAAAACTAAAGCTGATCAAATGCTAATTCACTAAAAAGTGAGTCAGGATTAATATTTATTTTAACAGACAGAGATAGGAGACTTCGCAGAACCAATGAACAACCCTGAGGCAGGACAAAACAGTAAACAGCAGCCGTAACCCCCTGCTCCTGCCTTCTACACCACAAACTCAGTATGGCCTGCCCCGCACATGGAAGGATGCTAAACATTGTGAACAATAAAACATCTGTACAGCTCTGAACCAGCAACATGAAGCTGATAGCCAATTAATTTCCAACGCGCTGTGCTACTCAGCACCTAGTCATCACCACATGCTCAGCTGACAAGCCTGATAAAAACACTTCTTATTTTGCCATGCCTGTCTAATCACTGAGATTGACTGTCACCACATTGACCTGAAGTCCAAGCTTGATTGTTGTCAACTTTACACCTAATAAATAGCTTAAAAAAAAAAAAATCTTGCAAGTTGCTGCTGTTATTATTAAAAACAACAAAGGTGGGGAGGAGTATGGGGTTGTAGAAAAAAAAGCTCTTCAGAAGCACAACAGGAGCATTTCTGCTTCCTGAACCACCCTGCAACACACACTGTGTAAATGAAGGCATCCCTACCCTTACTCAAGGCTAACACATCAGCCCCAACAGCAGTCTCTATTTTTCACCAGCACACATTTCTACAGCAGAGACATTTCCGTGAAAAGCAATCACCCAGCAGGGAAGGTCTGCACACAAAGGAATTCAGTTATTTTGAAACAATTGCCATACACATGCCACAGAATTAATTTCTACAAATGTAAGAATGACTGTGGGCCTCGCTGGGCTTAGAAGCTGTTTCTTTAACAAATAAGATAACAAGTAAGTTTCCACACAATCAGAACATAATTACTTATAAGGATTTTGTACGTCACTTACTCAATATTGCTTCAATCAATTTTGGTTGCCATTTCTGTTTTAAGTATCTAAGAAATGTGCAGATAGTAGGCCCTTACGTACATGGATATATGACCACTCAGCACGCAGGCACCACTGCCCTGCATTCAAGGTTAATACTGCGAGATCAAGTTCTCAAAAAATTAGGAAGCAGCAACATTAAGGTTGTTTGCCTATTCCTAAATGTTGTGCTTCCTTGTCCACAGGGCTCAAGCAGCCCACTACCAGATTACGTCCCTACGGCTCAAAAAACAAACGCGCACCGACTCAGAACACAGGGGGCACACAGAACTGAAAACCGTCATCGCTTACAAAGAGAATTTGTGGCAGGGATGAAATTCAGCTTGAGAATCTTAATATCATCCCTTTTTCTTCTGTAATCCCCAGCTTCACTGACTGCAAACCTTTCAATTTGCACAGCAAACGGAACATGGTCATGCAGCAGCACGCTATTTTTCACTCTCTCCTCCAGGAGAAGTATCCTCTAGAGAAAACCAGCATTTGTTCTTGTGTGGTGCACAGTACGTCAGATATGCACAAATCCCAGGCCATCTGAATTCTTGGTAGTTTTTTAAAAAAAAGATGGATGTAATTTCCTTTTTCTCCATCTAAAAAAGAGCTCATAAAAGCACACGTTCCATCACATACTGTTTCCCCCAGCAAGGCTAGAAACTGTCAAGATACAGAGAATACCTCAGCTAGCTCAAAAACCAGTGGGATGCTATTCTCTGGACAGAACAACCCTAAATGAGGTTATGGCTAAGTTTCACACTCGTGCTTAAGAGAAACTCAGACAGGACTTTGCTGCTGTTGGAGAACCTGAAAGGAATCATGCCCTGGTTTTTACAGGTATTGCAGCAAAAAGAAAAGCGTCTCCAGCTGTCACACACACCAGTACCCCCACCTGGAAAAGCGTCCTTTCTCCTTTCACCTCTACAAGATAAAGCTGCAGCTAAACAAGTTTTAACTGAGCAATTTCTATGGCAGGCAGCTTACCTGTGTATGGGAAAGCTTTCTGCTCTCTGCTGCTTAACCCAAAAGAACTTATCTATTCTAACAAACAAAAGTACTAATAAATAAACAAATGCTCTTCATCACAGTATTTTCCAGTGGTCTGAAATTACTTGGCCAATGTTGTGACGGCTATCAGAAAACAACACTTCAACAGTCCTATAACAAACAGATGTCTTGGTGGCCTTTCACGATGGAGTTACATCAGTGGATAAAGAAAGAGCAACTGATGTCATCTACCTGGCCTTGTACAAAGCATTTGATGCTGTCCTGCATGACAAAATGGAATTGATGGATGGATCATCCACTGGAATAGGAATTGGCTGGATGGTCACACTCAGAGAGTTGCAGTCAATGGCTCAATGTCCAAGTGAGACCCGTGACGAGTGACGTCCCTCAGGGACCAGTGCTGGGTCTAATGCTATTTAATATCTTTGAAGGCAACGTGGACAGTGGGCAGTGTCACATGTGACAGTGGGCATGGACAGTGCATCCTCATCAAGCCTGCAGACAGCACCAAGCTGAGTAGCACAGCTGACACGCTAGAGGGAAGGGATGCCATTCACAGGGACCTGAACAGGCTTGAGTGATGGGCCCATGCCAACCTCATGAAGTTCAACAAGGCCAAGTGCAAGGTCCTGCACCTGGGTAAGGGCAATCCCAAGCACAGATACAGGCTGGGTGGAGAATGGTTTGAGAGCAGCCCTGAGGAGCGGGATTTGGATGTGTCAGTTGATGAGAAGGCTAAAGATGAGCTAGAAATGTGTGCTTCCTATCCAGAAGGCCAATCACATCCTAGGTTGCATCAAGAGAAGTGTGGCCAGCAGGTCAAGAGAGGCAATTCTGTTCCTCTACTCTGCTCTTGTGAGACGCGCCTGGAGTACAGTGTCCAGTTCTGGGGCCCCCAACACAAGAAGGATGTTAAGCAGGTCCAGAGGAGGGCCACAAAGATGATCAGAAGGCAGGAGCACCTCCCCTACAGGCTGAGAGTTGGGGCTTCAGCCTAGAGAAGAGAAGGCGGGGACCTTAACGTAGGCATTCCAGAACCTGAAGGGAGACTATAGAAAACCATGGACTCTCATTATTGCGACTTCACTCATTTGCACAGATCGCAGAGAGCAATGCACAGCCCCCCATGTATCCTGCATTCCTGCCACAGCAAGATTACCCTATGCATCACTGCACGTCTCCAAGTTTCTGCCTCCCCTTCCTTTTCTTACCTTGTTTTCATTCTCTATTACAGGTTAAACTTTTTATTCCTTTCTGCTTCCCAGGTCCTTGTCCTTTCATCATCCCCATTCTTCACTCATCCTTCATCCTTTTTCCTTGCCATTCCTTCCACCATTCCTGTTCTTCTCTCAACACATCTCTTTTCCCAAAAGAGCCACGCAGACCCTTAACTTTCCAAAAATTAGAATCCAGCACCACCCTCCTTCCTTCAAATCAAAAACAAAACAGAAAACAAATCAATAAAAGTAATGGGTGAACAGCTTTCAGTGCACGCAATCGACATTTAAACTTCAGCTGCTGAAATGAGATGTTAATTCACACCCACAACAAGCAAGCCCATGAGCCCATGGAATTGTACAATCTGGTAACTTTTGCTGTTCCTCATCCTCTCACTGTGCATGTTTCAGCAGTGCCAGACAATGGGTTTGTACTGCGAGTGTCCACATTTCCAAAGAGATCCATGGCACCAAAGTACTACACAAATACATGGTGCTTTTCCCAAGACATCCGCTCATCTACCATGTCCAGGTATGCTTACCTTTATTAAAAAGTCAAAATGCATTTTAAAACACAATCACAGTGCTTTATTAAACAGTACAGATTTCAACAACCAGCTTTAACGCTACACTGCTGACAGCAATTAAGAAATCCTGCTTGCGACAGACTGGCAAAGAAACAGGATAAGTTCCTTGCCCTCTGGAATGAAAAACTGCTGAGCTCTCATGAGGGAAGAACACAGGACTTTTTGGTGCTAAGAGATTTCAGAATTTTGTAGCATTTGAACTACAGCACAGATCAACTGGCTTGGGGTAATCTTCAGCAAGTTCCTTGCTTCCTTATTAAGTGGAATGATGTATCCTTCCTTCCCTCCCTTTACACAACGAAACCCTTTTAAAGTGCTCTGTCTACTTTGCTTGGTGTTCTCCATTTATTAGCTTCCTACAGAGTCCATTAAAATCTGAGCCAGAGCATAATGTACCTTTCTCTCCATTCACACAGTGCTCAGCACTACAGCAGCATGTGCAGCCTAACCTCCAACATTATCCTCACCACCACCTCTACAGGAACAGCACTACAACTAGTACTCAGGCACTCAGCAAATTGAATTGTTCAAGGCCAGCCAGGAATTCTGCTGCATTAAATATCCCAAGTGCTGGGCCAGTGCACTGCATGCCAGTCTAAGGCACATCTACGTCATGCACTGTCCAGAGACACAGTAACAGACAGCAACAGCAGTCCACGCAGTAGCCATAGAAGCCTAACAATCCCCAAAAGAGTGTGTGCCCTTTCCTGAAGGGATGAAGGGTTCTTTCTGACTTTTCAATACTACAGTATCCACAGGCTGTACTGACAGGAACTGTATCCCTGTGTTAAAGATCTACCTCGATTTCAGAAGTTTGCAGGGTACGGAAGACTGGCAAGTCAAATTAGAAACACTCCAGGCATTCCCAGCCCTCTGCAGATCTCCAAGGGCACCACCAAAGAGAGAACAGGAATGTCTGACAAAATGGTTGCACCAGATTCGGTTTTGGTCAAGCGAAGAAACATGGAGAAAATGCAGAATGTTTTGTCTTATAAAACCATTTGGCGGAAGCTCTGAAAAAATTACCAGTCAACAACAAAATCAATTTTAAACGAACTGGCCATTAGCAGTAATAAAAGCATTAGCTGAGTGTGGGTTGTGCCTGTAGCTTTCACACAGAAACAAGCGATGCCTATGAATCACCAAATCCTCTCCCTTTCACGAGATCCTTTGTAATTTTCCATAGACCATATGTGCTGCGTCACAGATGCAACTAATCCGAAGTCTCATAAAGGTGAAAGGCATCTTTCAGTACGCTGCACTAAAACAATTTAAGAGATGTGTGCATCTGAAGTGTAACGTGAAACGATTCATAAGCAGGAACTGAAGGCTATGGCCACATACTGCACTGGTAAGAGACATTCCCGTGGCAGCTGCAGGGGAAGAAAGATGACTTTCAAGAAGGTGGATGCTGCTACTGTTGCTCTGTGCTTATTCAGGAATAAGCTTTCTAATACTGACAAGCCTTGAACCAGTACATGTCCACATGCCAGTAGAATAAAAGGAGCAAAGGAAACTTGATGTCTCCCTCATAAGGATAAATAATAATAAATAAATGAAAATCAAAAGGGAACATTCCCCAGAAGTGACTCCACAGTACCGTGCTAACTTACCAGCTGAGGACTCCATCGTGTCCCAGTGTCTACTCCTGGAATAGGCCCTGACTGGCAGTCTCCAAGACAACGGGAGGAATGTCAAGCAGCTATCAGAGCAGACAGACCAGTGACATTCTTTTGCTTCTTGAGCTCACTGAGGCTACTAGCTCTCATCTGATGACTCTTCCAAGTATTTAGATCTAACTTAGACCAAATGTCGGCAGAATCTAGATAGTCAGAGGTTTGGGGTGGGAGAAGCTGGAAACTACTTTTTTTAAAAAATTGTCCCTTATCATCATTTTCCAATGACATTTATTCACTAACTCAACTATAATGAAAATCTGAATTTCCTTCCGTTCTGATACACACTTTCCAAATGGAATTATAAAAGTTTACGTTCAGCAAGGCAAATAAAGCCAGAGCCTCATCTGTCCAGATTGAAAAATATGCGGTGGGCAACAATGGCTGGAACCAGCAGAGAAGGCACCATTTGATTTCCTAAGGGTTACAGACCCTTGCAAAGTAGGCAGATGTATCCTTATCATAAGGAAGCAAGCAGAGTGCAGTTCACAGTAAATTCAGGCACTAGACAGTTGGAGAGTGGTACATTCCTCGGTTCTGCTGCCATAAAGGATTTTTGTGATACCACTACCTGTAACTTACTTTATTCTGACGTCCTCTAAGTAAATAAAGAGATGCATTGACTTTACTACAAAGACAATCCCTACAGTCGTGACACTTTCACAGAGACTCACAAAAAACTCACAGAAAACTGTAATTTCCCTCTATCCATGCATTTCATTGATGCCTACTAACAGCTCTACAGTCCTCTTGAAACATCTAAACACAAAGAAAACTCTGGTGTTTGCATCTTGTCTTCTAGAAGATCTGTATTAGTCACCCTTCCTTTCTCTCCCTTAAAGCTTGCACTAAGTATTTCTAGCTCTGTAAGAGAGCAAACACTGAGCCAAACACAGTAACTAGAGTCTGACCAAGCACAAACTCATTAGAACAGCTTTCACACACATGCAATCACAAAATACCACGGTTTTCTTCCCTATTACTCCTCCTCCATCCCTTTCCACATTTCTAATTCCTTTGCATCCATGGCTTCCTCCAAACTAAAGTTGTGTTCCTTTCTTGGCATGGAGGAACACACTTCAGTATCTGGCTTTCTCTCCTCAGAAGGAGACATTAAATACTTTATAGACCATTAAATGCTTTAGAGAAGGAGAAACAATATTTGAAGAGATGGAAAACTTTTCATGCTTAACTTCAGTCACTAAAGGAAGGTGAAGAAAGAGCCACACAAATAATCAAAGAGAACAGAACTGGAGCAAGAAACATTCCTCCCCTCTCTTTAATCCTTTGGCTCGGTATTGTCATCAAAGGGACAGCTTCAGTTTGGTGGAGGAAGGAAGGAGGGAAATCAGAGAAGACCCAATATGGAGCTCCTCTGTGAGGCAGCTCAGCACAGAAGTAACACAGACATTTTTTCTGCTGCAGGAACACCTGCTGGGAGCATAACATAGTTCAGACAATTGAGCTTTAAAATTAGCACCTTACAGCAGGGGCACGGAAGGGTGTGTCTAATCCTAAACCTAAAACCAGTTTTAAATTACAACAACCACTTGAAAGCCAGTAAAATACCAGGGCTAGGAAACTGACAGACAATTCTACCAAGAACTCTGCTGATAACCTGGCTAGCACAAAAATCTCCTGGAAAAAAAATCTTGAGAGGTCCAAAATAGAGAACTCAAAAAGTCACAAGTTGAAATAACTAAGCCTGTATGTACAGCTTTGTCAGATCTTCTGTGCATTTTAACATTCAGGCTTCAGTTGCCACATGGAATGGTCATACCAGCTGTTTCTCACACCAAACTACTGACTAGTGACTGAAAATTTATTTTGTCCTTTTTGCTTAATAAGAGTCATCACATACACTATCCAAAACCCAATCTGAAACCCAACCAGGCAATCAGCTTTTCAAGGTGCTCATTAATATGACATGAGAATGCTTTCTCATGACACTGCTATGGGATAGCCTGCTTCCCTCACCAAAGGAATGAAAAAATGAGATAAAGAGTTAAGGCCATGTAATTGCAAACACGCTTCTTTAGATGTCTACAAATGCTACAGTTTCTCACAAGTTGGAACTATCTGCTCAAAGCACATTTCAGATGCATTCATCATGTGCATTCTGCAAGTCTATTTCTCTAACTACAAATGTTCACCCAATTTAAGGGCAGAATGATCTGTTTGAGAAGAACTTGTAAAAAGCACGTCCTAAAAACAAACACAGACATGAAACTCACTTCATCAGGGTGGTATCCAACTGCCTCAAACACGAGACCACCTTTTTAATTCCTACCATCTGCACTAAATTCATCATACACCTTCCTTTCTTCAAGGATTTGAAGAGGTCCTACAAACAACTGCCCTCCTTCATCACATCCTCCTCACACATTCCCTGAGCAGATCCAGCCAGTGAACGACATGGAGGAGAAATGCTGTGGGAGGAAAAAAAAAAAAAAGTCAATGGAAAACTGTATCTAAACTAGGTGCTAAAAGAACACTCTTTTCTTTAGTGATTAAGCTACAGTTCGCATCACATACTTGTGGTACCAGAAAGCATCTTGCATCTATAATAACAACAAAAAGCATAAGATACATTAAAATGAGTTTAAAAGGCTACATAGGGCTTCTGAACTCATTACAGACAATTACAAGCACCACTCATGCAAATCACATGTGAAGTAGGCCTTGATGCATTAAAGAAGTGTATCTTGCCTGTAAGTGAGATAGACTGGAAGAACAAAAACAAAAGGAACAGACCACTAGGGCAGTAAGACAACAGTCTAACTCCTGATACATTTTATCTCGTCTCGTGTAAAGTAATACACTTAGGGAAAGTAAGGGATAAAGGATGCCAGACCGTATTTCCAAGAAACAGAAAGGCTTGATTACTATGGCAGATAACTGCCAAATAAGAACTTCCAGCTGAAACACAACAGCCAACAGGGATAAGGGCATGCTCAACAGAGGAGCAATAACCTGACTTCTTTAGTTAGCGCCATAAAGAAGACTGGTACTAAAGGACTGCATTTTCAGAAAGTCAGAAATTCAAAGCTGTTGACAGAAGATTAGAGTAGGTTTTGTTTGTTTGTTTGATTGCTTTAGTTAATTTACCAGAAAGAAGATGATTTATTTAATTTGAATCCACACAAGCAATAAACATTTAGTAACAGGACACTTGAACGTGGCAGGCAGAAGGCATTATAGGTGCAACAAAATATTGAAACTGTGAAAATGAACTACTACAAAACAGTGACAGGAAAACCAATCAGTAAACTAACTCATTGAAGGATGATATGATATATTCTCTTCCATAAGTATTAAAAATTACATACTCCGCTTTTCTAAAGGAAACTCCTAGACTGAGCACAGCAGCTCTCTTACAGTTAGCTAATAACGGGATGTTGCATGTGATACAGAATCACAGAATCACAGAATTGTAGGGGTTGGAAGGGATCTCCAGAGATCATCGAGTCCAACCCCCCTGCCAAAGCAGGTTCCCTACAGCAGGTCGCACAGGTGGGCATCCAGGCAGGTCTTGAACATCTCCAGAGAAGGAGACTCCACCACCTCCCTGGGCAGCCTGTTCCAGTGCTCCGTCACCTCACTGTAAAGAAGTTCTTGTGCACATTTGTGCAGAACTTCCTATGCTGCAGTTTCTGGCTGTTTCCCCTTGTCCTGTCTCCACTCACCACTGAAAACAGTCTGGCCTCACCATTCTGCCCCCCACACCTTAGATACTTAATAGACCTGGATCAGGTTCCCTTTCAGTCTCCTATTCTCAAGGCTGAACAGACCCAGTTCACTCAGCCTTTCCTCATAGCAGAGATGCTCCAGGCCCTTCACCATCTTTGCGGCCCTCCGCTGGACTCTTTCCAAGAGATCCCTGTCTTTTTTGTACTGGGGAGCCCAGAACTGGACGCAGTACTCCAGATGAGGCCTTACCAGGGCAGAGTAGAGGGGGAGGATCACCTCCCTCGACCTGCTGGCCACGCTCTTTTTAATGCACCCCAGGATGCCATTGGCCTTTTTGGCCACAAGGGCACACTGCTGGCTCATGGCCAACCTGTCATCCACCAGGACACCCAGGTCCCTCTCCGCAGAGCTCCCCTCCAGCAGCTCATCCCTCAACCTGTACTGGTGCATGCAATTATTCCTCCTCAGATGCAAGACTCTACACTTGCTTTTGTTAAACTTCATCCGGTTTTTTTCTGCCCAGCTCTCCAGCCTATCCAGGTCTCGCTGAACGGCAGCACGGCCTTCAGGCGTGTCAGCCAATCCTCCCAACTTCGTATCATCAGCAAACTTGCTGAGAGTGGCCACTGTCCACTCATCAAGGTCACTGATGAAGATGTTGAACAGGACCACACCCAGCACAGACCCCTGAGGAACACCGCTGCTTACAGGCCTCCAACCGGAATCTGCACCACCAACAACAACCCTCTGTGCTCTGCCAGTCAGCCAGTTCTCAACCCACCTCACTGTCCACTCATCTATCCCACACTTCCTCAGCTTTGTTATAAGGATGTTGTGGGGGACAGTATCAAATGCCTTGCTGAAATCAAGGTAGACTACATCCACTGCTCTCCCTCCATCCACCCAGCCAGAGACAACATCATAGAAGGCTACCAGGTTGGTCAAGCACGACCTCCCCCTTGTGAACCCGTGCTGACTACTCCTGATAACCTCCTCTTCTTCCAGTTGTCTGGAGATGACATCCAATACAAGCTGTTCCATCACCTTTCCAGGGACAGAGGTGATGCTGACTGGCCTATAATTGCCTGGGTCTTCCTTCTTGCCTTTTTTGAAGACCGGGGTGACGTTGGCTATCTTCCACTCTTCAGGCACCTCCCCCATCCTCCAAGACTTCTCAAAGACGACAGAAAGCGGTTCAGCAATCACCTCTGCCAGCTCCCTCAGCACCCGTGGATGAATCCCATCGGGTCCCATGGATTTGTGAACACAGGATACCAGGATACCAAACAAAAATCAAAGAACACAAAGCCACTGTAACAAACACTTTGCTCCTCCTAACATCTGTTTAGCCAGAAGACACATTAAAAAAAAAAAAAAAAAAACAGCACCACTCTATTAACATCTACCTGCAGGACCACACATCCTGGCTGAGACATAAAATAGAAGCTTGTAATTTTTGCTGCATGTTTGTATTAGATGAGGATGAAAGAGTTTCCACAGAGTTCACAGACTTTAGCTGACAGTGACAAAAATCCTGAGGCACTTGGCATTGATGGGAGTACTCTAGCTACCAAACTCATCTAAAGCTTTTCTCATCTTCAACTTCATGCCTGCCATACATCACTACACTCAGCAGCAAATCTTTCTCATTCCTGTCTACTGGCTGTAAAACTCAATCTTTCACTACTTCGTCTTCGCAGCTCTTAATATACACTTGTGCTCCCTGCAGTAAAGAAACACTGCATCCCCCACACGCTTACTCTTCATTTGTCTCCTTTGCTCCACTCTTGCCTAGCTCCCATCCTCCCATCTACCAGCTATCTTTGTCTCCTTGTCCAACTTTTCTTCCTGCTTTTTGCATTCTCCTTCTTCAAAGCTCCTAGATCAATATTCTTGCCTGTCCACTACCAGTGTCTCTTCAGCTTTTTTGGCAAAACATCATGTATTGTGGTTCTTGACCTTCCTTAATTCACTATATGTTCCCGTAGATCGTAACGCAGGGAATGCTTCAGCTCTGTTCCCACAGAGCAGCTCTGTGCTGGAGGAGATCTAGATTAGCACAATTCCTGAAGAACCATGCTCCAGTGCTACCTAGCATATGCCAACAGATGTAACTTGGCCAAGTAGACTGAAATAAAAGATACATACCACTAACATCATGCTCTAACACACCAAACTTTTTCATCTCCAGTGCTGACATCCAATCAGAAAATGTGAAAACTGCATTCATCAAAGAGGTGACCCAATCTTAACCTATGAGTATATTTCTTCAAGCATAACTCCTCCAATCACTTTACTGGTCTATTTTAAGAAGACCGGAGGGGAGAAGGAATATATTTATATTCTAAGTCTGACCGTGCGGAGAACATAATTTGATACAGTTATATGCAACTTAAAGGAGTACCATCAGTATTCATTGCAGAAATAAGGCTGCATTTTTAAAATGTCAGCGAAAGCAGCTGCAGCAACAATCCCCCAGCAGACACAGAAGTTGCCCTCAGCTTCATTCCACCAACGCTGCACCATCAGCGAACCCAGAAAGGCTCCCGAAGCCGCGCTGCCGAGGAGCAGCAGCAGCCGGCAGCTCCTCCGGGGGCAGGCAGATAGCGCGGCGCCGCGTCCCCACGGCCGGAGGCAGGGCCGGGCTGCCGAGGCAGCTCCTCTGAGCCCCGCCCGGCAGCAAGCTACGAGCGAGTAGCCGGAGCCCCTGCCGCCGCCTCTAAGCAGCCCCAGGACGCCTCTGCGCGGCGACGAGGGAAGGAAGGAAGGAGGAAGGGAGCGCGGCCGGGAGCCCTCACGGCTCCGGGAAGCCTCACAGCCAGGCATCGGGCAACGCTGCCATTCGCCGGGCTCGGGGCAGCCGCGGTTCGGCCAGCGCCCAGGCAGGGCTCAGTCCCCGCCCCGAGGCACAGTCTGCCCGTCCGTCCTCAGCCGCGGCCCTCGGCCCCGCCCCGGCAGCTCTTACTGTCCAGGTAGTGCTCCAGGTACATCCCCGCCGCCATCTTGGGACCGGACACACTGGCGCTTCCGGCAGGAGCCGGACACCGGCGCGCCCTCTCCTCCGGAAATAGCTCGTGCCATGCCGCCGAAGCCGCTTCCGCCCTTCTTCCCAATCGTTTCCGCTTCGTTGCTGTGGACATGTGGGGCTGCGGTTGGGGGGGGGGGGGGGCTGCCTCTTCGCCCGCTCTTGGCGGAGCGCTGACCTGAGGGCTGTCGCACGGGGCTGCGGAGAAGGGAATTGCCCTGCGCGACCTTTCGCCGCGAGAGGTAAACGCCTGCATCCTTCTTCTCCGTGCTAGAAGAATCAACCCTCGTCGTTTGGAGGCTTACCAGAGGTCGCTCCTGGCTGCGCCTAACTTCCGACAACCCGTCTAGGCGCTCCCGGGGGATCGGCTGGGTGAGGAAGTGCTGCTGGTTTGTAGTAGTTGGCGGTTTTGCCATCCACCATGCTGCTTGCCAGCCACGAGTAACTGCTGCGCTATTACAGTTGGACTTTGCTGTACAGTGACAGCAGTACAGACTTTAGGTACGTACCGCACCGCTAGAACAGTTACACCAAGTTAAACACGTGAGCGTGCTTTTTTTTTTTCTCCACCTCTACAAAACCGCTTTTCTGACTGTGCACTGCCACGTATTACTTCCAGGTTACAGGCCCTTCTGCTACAGACTTCAGGACTCCTTCCCCTAAGAGCCCTTTGCCAGTGGCTGCACATGCAGCGTGCAAGGGTGAGAAGGTGAGGACACAAGTCTGATTATGAAGGAACTGAGACAAAATTATCTTGTTTCTTTTGATCTTTAGACCAAAACATAACATCCAGGATTGCTGTATCAGGAGACTGAGTTGATTTTCTACGATGCAGTGTTGAAGAGACAATGAATTTCTTTGGTAATGTTAAATTTCATTTGCATTTTTGCTGCCTGCTTTTTTTTGTTTGTTTGTTTTGTTTTTCCCTCTCCTTTTTCTCCTGACTGACTATACAACAGCCATTGTTCAGGGTACCTTGTTACTAGATACCATCCACGAGGAAAATTGATCATATTTGATTCTTCTTGTTCCTCCTAAAAATCTTCCAAGGCACCAGATCTTTATTTATATGGACCTGCAGGGATTAAGTGTTCTAGCAGTCTGCAATACAAATGTGAGAGGCTGCGACAAGAATGAATCGCAGCTGTTGAAATTATTGACCGCTTTGCTGACAGACTATTTGGTTAATGCAGAGATCCACAATGTTCTGGAGATACAAATAGTCCTGTTCCTGTAGTCATTAAAGTTACTCAATATTTTTAATCAAAACCTTTTCTTACTCTTTTTGGTTCTTTCATGAAGCAACTGGTTTCACTTAAGCTGAGCATTATTAAGCCTCACTTTGTTGTAAAGTACTTCAAAATTGTTATACAAATTGCCTTATACTCTTTAATTAAAGAGAAGGATATGGCTGTTATATAAAAATCGTATTTCCTATATCCTGTCACAAGACTAAACCACAACCCCAAAAAGCATTTTGTTTGCAGTTACCATGGTGGATGGAGCTGATTTTAAGGAAGAGGTGTTCTTCAATATTACCAGTTTGGTCAAGAGACTACTCAGGAATCCCAGCTTATCCTCCAAGCCAAGGCTGTGTATGTGTCAAAACACTATTCCACTGAGGTAGAAAGAAAAACACCGTCTGGCTTTGCTGTCACTGCTGATATGAAAGACAGTATACCTTTTCCAAAAATATAAATGATA